TCATTCTCTAAATATTTTTCTATGTCGTTCAATATTTCACTGGTAGAATTTATGGTGAAAACCATCAGTGTATATTTTCAATGCCCTGCAGTGAGACAAAAAGATAAATACACAAAAGGATTTTTATGGCTGCAACTAATACTGGGCGATCAATTATTCAACAGTGATTCCAAAGAGCAAATCACAGAGCGATTCTTGAAAACAATCAAAATTTGAATATTTTCAGGCAAAATGCGTAAATAAATCAAATTAAATTCAAATATTTTCAGTATTTTTAACTAAAATTTTAGTATTTGATTATTTTCTCCACATATCGCCACCAGAGGGCAGCAAAGTTGGCGAGGGGGACGCCAAATTATCGTGGTTTTCTCTCTCTTCTCACGCTTTCTCACACTTTATCACTTCCTGTTGAGATCCTGGCCAGGAGAAAAGGAAATTTAAGCGCGAGTGTGAAGCTTTTCGCGGACTTACGCGCAGTTGATCAGCTGATCAAGCTTGAAAGACGTGAAGAAGTTCCGATTGTATTTCCCAAAGGCAAATTCGACCTTTGAGGAGTGCGTATTCCACTTCATGGCAATTTTTTTTTTATATTTCTTCTTGATTGAATAATCACAAAGTTAATGGTTCCAAATCGCGAGTGACTCCCAAAGGCGAAAGCTTTATTCTTATGCTGACGATGACGATTCCACTGCGAATTTTATGAATATCCGACCAAAAGTTAAATCAATAAATAGAATAAACATTACTTCCGTTCATTATTTTTTTTTGACTTCCCCTGCAAGTCAACTATTGAAAATTTTTATTTCACGTTATGAAAATTTATTTATTTCTCCTACGCGGAGAGAAAAACACAACCACATTCCAAACAGTCGGCAGTCTTTTGCGAGTATATTTTTAAAATTCAATGCAAAGTCAGTCAGTCTCTGTGTATTTTCTAATGTCTTCTTGGCATCTTAGAAATCATCGCAGAGACAGAGAAAACTTGGGCATGGCGATGCGATACAAGAACCCTTGGGAAATGTCACACAATAAGAGACTTTTCATGTCCTTTTTTTCCTTCAGCGAGAACACATTGAAGTTGGAAAAAAGTCTCAAAGGCATTAAATATTTTTCAAGGTGCTTTCTGAGAATTTTCTTTTAATAAGGGCGACTTGAAGAAGTCAGAAGGCAAAATTCAACCTTTACAGTATTGAATTTCCCACTGAACTATCTAAATTTCCATTAAATTTCATATCCTGGGCACAAAGTGAAAGCGAGTCTCTGTGGAAGCTTTTGCCATTTAATATGATAACAATAACAGCCAGAATACAAACAGAGGGAAATGAGAAAACTCCTCTCAAGCTCTATACACAATCATGGGAAATGCGTGGCAGAGTTTCTCTCTGAATGAGGAAGGAATATTGAAATTTCCCACAACACAAAAGTCTGGAAAATGGTGAATAGAAATTTCTATCAAAGTGTGAACGATCAAAATTTGTTCTGCTGTGACAACTGAAAGACCATTATTTGTTAAAATGTGGTCTCAAAGTTTTATTCTTCATTGTACAAAACTTCCCCTAAAACAGCATCAGCAGAAATTCCACCCGAAAATGCTTCGTTGCAGATCTTCTTTGCCACACACAGAAAGTTACAATTTTCGCAACTTTGCACAATCTCTGTGTGATCTAAAGCAGCGGAAGTTAAACATTTTCATTTCCCACACGTTTTGCGAGGATGTATGAATAAATTCATAACTGAATATGGGCAAAAGGAGGCACGCGGAGAAAGGAATTATTAATATTTATCCTCATGCGGAGCAAAGGAGGCAAAATAAGGTAGAAAAAATCGATATTTATTCTTCTCTGTGTTTTGCCTTCCTCCCCTATTTTCTCTTTACCTTTCTCTCAACTTTACAACAAGCCTAAATAAGAGAAAATATTATGTAGATTGCCAGTTTTCCCCGCACATCTCGCGGCATCGAATGGGCGAAAGTACCAACGGGGAGATAATATGCCTTCAATCTGTACACCACTTTCAAACACTTCCAAATTTGTCTAACACTTCTAGAACATGAAATTTGTAGTCTGTTTCCACGTTTATCCCCAAATTTTACTGATTTTTTTTCAGTTTTGTATTTATATTTTTGCAAGAATCGACTTGAGAACGCATTTTTGGATATCTTTTCTGATCATAACCTCAAAATATCACCAAAAGATCTTTAAGAACTCCATTTGTGAGCTTTCTATATCACAAAATCAGTTATTGTAATTTGTCAATGAATTCAAAATTGCTGTTTTAGAGTCAAAATTGTTCAAAAACTTTTCTAAATGAACATTTTCGGAGACTAAATGACTATTTTTGAGGTTATGTTCAATTTCATTCCATTTTGCAGTATTTTTGACACATTTTTAACATGAAAAAGCTTCATTCTGCCAATGCTTGGTGATCTTGGCGATTTAAGCATAAGAATTGGTGTTTTAGAATCCGAATTAATCACTAAATCTTCCCGGAATTCGTTACATAACCTAGAAAAAGACTTTGACGTTTGTTTCTGCGTGAAAATCGAAGGAAATCTAAAGAATTGGGATGATTTGTCGGTAAAAAAAGCACTCAGGAAAGGAATATTGAAGGTCTTTGAATACTTTCACTTCTTAAGCACCTCTTCTGAGTTGTACACCACTTGTGACTGTATTATCTGCCCTTTGGAAAGTACACGCGTTGCAGAAAACATAAGGTAGACTTCTTTTGAAATGTGCTGCTCAAAGGGAGGGATTTTGATGGGCCGCCGCCAGTTTGGGGCAGAGATTTTGAGGTGGTAGAGAATCTCCCAAACACATATTCATACTTGTTAAATTAAACTCCCAAGCAATTTTCTCGTCAATTTTTATGGCGCATATGAAAAGATGTAATTCATCTCGCAAACTTCCCCAAATTGTGTGTGTGTGGATTTATGGTTGTAATATTTGGGGGAGGGAAAAGAATTCCACACCATTTATTTTCTCGTGAAAGAAAAAAACATCCATCGCGCGCACACAAACTTTTCATAATTTTCACATGAGTGGAATGTGAGTATTTTCGGTTGAGCGCCAGCTTTTGGAGAATTCTCGCACGAATTCTTCACTTGTGCTTCACATTCAGAGACGATCTTTGGGACCTTTTGTCACATCTTTCAGAGCGACAACGTTTTTTTTTTACTTCTTTTTTTTCCTCCACAACTCATAAGTTTCCGAAACAATCTAAAACGTAACATCGCCGCACTTGGAATTGGGCCAAGTGGACACTTTATCTCGCTCCTCTCGACTCTCTTCACCCATTCTTTCACTTCCCCCGAGAATTTTTCAATCAACATCTCATCCTTTAACACACACAGAGAGAGAAAAAAACTCATCCACGAAAGACAGGAAGAACGTGTCTGATATTTCAGTTTTCTGACAGCTTTACGATCATACAGAATATCACATCAATACTCCTCATCAAATGCAATCCCCCGAAGTGAGATAAGCACTAAGACCAGAAGATTAGTTCGCTTGAGCCCAAAATTCCTCAACACGGCCAGCATATTTCCCATTTGTCCCCAACTCGCACCTCAAAATAAATCACGCATCTATTTTTAATTGTATTTCACCTATTCTTGCTTGTTATACAACACAAAGATGACACACTAAAAATAATTCCGAGCGAGAGAGAGAGAATATTTGAGCTGGGCGAAATTAGAGAAACACAACATATAAATTGACAAATTACAAAATCCCATTAATTATTCCTTATTCAACACGCAAAAATTAATAATAACACGAAGATGAAATTTTGCTAAAAAAAATTCGAGCCAAGAAATCTCCCAAAATTCCATCCAGTATTCTAACTATTTGAGGTTCGATGCACTGAACGCGCCTCATTTCCCAAATATAAACATAAATCAGCACTCAAGTTTTAGGCTTGATAACCAGAAGAACAAGTTTCTGAGGTCAAAATCTTCCGAAAAATCTCAATTCTATCATGTAAATTCTATCGAGTCCAGCACACGAAAAGAAAAACCTTTGGTCACTCAATACATTTGATGGCAATAAAGCGTCCAAAGTCGCCGATTTATCTCCGTCTTAACTTCAGTTCACTGAACTAAACTCCAGAGAAATGTGAATAATTAGCATAAAAGAATAGGGATTTCGTGTGAATGCATAGAAGATCTTTCGACGGACGAACGATGTTATTAATCGTGTAAGCTGAAAGCTTGATAACCCGAAAACAAGTCTGTGAGGTAAAAATCTTTCAGAAGAACGAAATGAACATCCGCTGTATTAATTATTTTGCTTCGTGAGATCACAGAATAGCGAAAACTGCGATATTAGAAAATAATTCTTTAAAAAATCAACAGCAAATTACCCTAAAATATTCAATAAGTTCCCACAAGAGCCATAATAATAACTTGTGAAATTAAGACGTCGTTGGAACTTTACTTTCATCACATATAAAATAAACTGTCAAAATATGAATTCGGAAAAATGTGCTACAAGATTATGATTCATCATTATTATTTACGAAAGTGCAAATAATGATGTTTTTATGTATTTAAATACATATTTATTGGATTTTTCTGGCTATCTGTGCTAATTTTAATGCACCAAATTGAGGTTATGTGTTTCCGGATATCCTTCGACTCTTTCCAAGGAAACTAATTGATTTCCTAAAAATAGCAGCATTCAAATATCTTTCTGATAGCTGAAATTCGTATTAAATATACTCCAAACTTTGCGTTGCAACGCCTTTTCGTTCATTTCAATACAAACTATGACAATGTAAATTTGCAACACAAAATTGATAGCTTTTACGAACTGAAATATGAATTCCGTAATGTTGCAACGACGATTTATCTTCACAACCATGTCAGAGATTCTCAGAAATTAAATATCAAATTGCAGACGTAATGAAATTTCCATCATACATATCATGCAATATATGTTTTTCTTTTTCCACCCCCGCACTTTCCGCCCACGAAATGGAACATCTTGATGTGGCAATCCAAGTATGACAATGAAACACAATATCCGGCACTCACTCTGGAGCACGGACCGAAGAGCATGTCAGCGAACGAGATGGAGAAGCTGGAGGCGCGAATGCAGAAGAGGGTGGAACGCGTGGCTGAGGTGTGCTCCAAATACGGATTAGACAAAAGAGGTAGGAGAGCAAGCAGAAATCACCTTTCACCCGCAGACGATCCTGCCTCATTCTAATCCTCATCCAAGTTCAGCAATTATTTGCCTCGCACAGGAGTGAAAGGAGAAAAAAATCCCGCGTCGACGAAAATTATATCCAAAGAGAAGAGAGAAAAAAACCTAAATTGTATTATCCTTAAATTTCTTTCATTCCCTTCTTCCCATCGTCGCATCAAATAACCTTACGCCTCACCTTTTGCTCCTCCAGAGAACAAACCCACCATCAATTTCCTCCCTGCGTTAACATAATGTTCCGCACACATTATTAATAATTCTGTGATCTAATTAAAATCTATTATCTCGTGAATGCTGCCAAAATAGGAAACGATTCGCTTCATCGGCCAAATTCATGGGAGTTCCTTATAAATAAACAACATCGGCTTATATGGTAAATATTTGATCTTCTGTGGTACTTTGAAAATTGCCGCTCTGCGGCTGGAAAATTACTATGAAAATCATTTTCACCACCCACACAGGTGCAACGTATTCAAGGCCGCCTCCACATCGTGGATGTACAATTTCAACCTGATGGCCGGATATTCGCCGCAATTCCTCAAGAAGTCCAAGGAAGTTCCCCTGGTTTTGGCGCGGAAAAAGTACAAACGTCCATCGGAAAGTGAGGTAAATAATTATTTCATATCTCAGATATACAAAATAGCTCAGAAGTACGAACTAAGGTGTTCTCTAATAGAAAATCTTATCAAAGCCTTCACTAGTTGATTGATGATCATTAGCTTATTGAATTTTAGTTTCTTGAAGTATTTTTGTCAGATTAAATCGCTACAATTCTGCGATATAATGCGGCGTCACGTGTCTTGAGAAAGCCTAGTTGCGAGCTACACTTCATAACATTTCGGTGAACAAAATTTGGGCCGCAGTTGTGCGAAAGAAATGAAGAAATTGAGCAAAAGCGTTAAACTGTAGCTAAAAACACACGAAAAGCAAATTGACAAGTGCAAATCAAGGCGTTTTATGATGTAAATGTCTTCTAGACATCCCAAACTCACGATTTAATGTGGTTATTTTGGAGCAAAATATGAAGTGAACTTAATTTTCGCTGTCCTTTTGTGCATTTCTCTCTGCATTTTGCGATATCTCGGCCCCTAATTGAGATATCGCCGTGATCTCAACGCCATTTGAAAGATCATTAAATTCTAATCATTCTTTGTCTTAAGGTAAATGTCTGAAAAATTGAAGGAAATATCGAATTTTTAACTCCAGTGTCTTAAGCTAATTTTCGCTACTGTAAATTTTGCCGCCACTATGCAAAATTCTGTCACTTCATAAGAACGGAAAGAGACACACATAAAAATGGTGTTGATAAAATTGCCGATAAAGAAATTTCCATTTCTTTACAAAGTCAATTCCCTCGATGGATTAAGTGACTTTTAACGCAACACCGGCTTTTTATGTTCCCCCACGCAAGACGGTCTCCAATTGAGGAGTATTTCGACCGGATTTCAGTATCTAATTAGGATGAAGACAAAACCCTCCTTAATTGCATAATGACTCATTATTCCACGTGAAATATGCCTTATAATATCAGGGCCATTTGTTCCCCAAACAATTTGTACACATATATATAGAAGAAAGTCTATATCTATAACCTGTGACAGCGGTTTTGTGGCCATCCGTAATCAAATTAGTGTTGAAGAAAACTCCACCATCCGTGTGATTATTGCGTGTAATTTATGCCTCAATTACACAAATTGAAATTGTATCGAACCCATATGCTGACTAATCATTGAACACTAGCGCCGTAATCATTGAAATGCCATCATATCAAGCTCAGGAGCGGCACGAGATAAAGTGATGGCAGAGAATGAATGAAAGGCGCTCATGTGGGACTTATCGAAATGCTATACATGTTCACAAATGGATTAATAATAATTGCTATTGATTTATGCAAAAATATTATCTTTCCTAATTTCCCAAACATTTTGCAGACAATCAACTTTTGGAGCAATTCTCAGTCACACGAGAAATGTTAAAATTGTGTTATATTGGCTTAACACACGCCTTTTCTATTCTGAGTCTGGCGCTTGTGTTAAAAATTCCACCACTTGTGTTATTTGCTATTCTGCCAACATGTGTTAAACCATTTTGTATTGCCTGAATGTTTAATTTTAGCACAACTTCGAGAGGTTGTTTTAAAGAATGTAGAATGTGTAAAGAGCAAATGAGTGCAGATTTAAATCTGCAAATATCTTGCAAGGATGGATTAATCTGCAATTGTGGCTTTAATTTTCAAGCATGAACATGAATTATGTTTACAGTAAATTCTTTTTATCATGGATTTCCTGATTATGAGCTGGAATTTTAATCATTCTGACAAATTTCACCATTTTTCTCTTTTACACATTTTGGTGGCGTTTAAAACACAAACACAATGTTTTAGCGAGAATATCACGGGCTGTTTTTCCTTATTCATTTCGAATGCTTAACTTAACATGTTTTTAAGTTTAACATTTTTGTGTGTGACTCAGAATTGCTCCATTTATTGATTTTGCACCTATTATTCATATAGTCTCTAATAACGCTTGTTCTGCACAATCATTTTAACCCATCGACAAAAGCCACAAAATCCACGTAAGAATCTCCCTCAAACAGCAATTGTGAATTGCCATCGATCGACCAAATGAGGAGTAAAGTCATGATTTATTTAGGCAAAAGGTACACAAGCAAAATTGCACACAAAACCCTATCGCAGTGGTGAATCGAGTGGCGGCAAATTGACAATGAAAGAGCGAGAGCGAGAGAGTGAATGGATTGCTTTGCTGGGGGGTTAAAATTCACTCAATGCATCGATAAATGAAGTGATTCATTATCAATTGCAGCTTATTTCGTCACTCAATGACTCCGTGTCATTCCTAATCGTTCGCCACCCCTTCGAGCGCCTCCTGAGTGCATATCGGGACAAACTGCAGAACGCCCTACCAAATTCATTCCACAGCAAATTAGGGACAACTATCATTCTAAAATACAGGAAAGTAAGTCACCAATCAATGCCAACACTCTTGTCACCTCGCCTACAATCTCTCTCTCCTATTTGCAGAACAAATTTTCACGTGTACCGCGATGGCCTACATTCCCAGAATTCGTGGACTACCTAATCGACACCTTTCACAGTCATCGTGAATTGGACATGCACTGGACGCCCGTCACGAACTTCTGCACCCCATGCCAAGTGCGCTTCAGCGTTATCGCTAAATTTGAGACACTGGAGGTAAGAATTGCCCCAAAAGCCAAGAATTCATCATTGAATCATGACGGAAGAAGTGCAATATTCCGGGATTGTTGTTGAAATCTGTTCCTCGCGGTTTTAATTAGAGATTGGACAGGTTTTTAAGAAGATTTCTTAATGGATCTTAGAAGCAGACATGACGGAATTCACGTTAAACATCTGGAAAATTACTGAAAGACGCAGTCAATTGCGCTCCAAAGTCGAATTTCCATAAATTACGCTACAAGACATTATAGTTTCATAGTTTTCCTATAAAAAATTAAAATCTTCAGTATAATTATCCTGAAGACACCTAAGATTAATTTGAACCTCATTTAAAAGCCAAAACATATTTAACTAGCGAGAATTGAAATGTTACTCAGATTCTGTTTAAGTTGGACGATTGATTACTGCTTTGCCTCAGTTTTAGTATCCCAAAGGGATGAAGGATTAGGCCGAATGTCTTCAAACTTGGCATGGAAATTACTTATTAATGAGGGAAGATTGGTGGAAAATTTCAGACCTCTAGCTTAACGAGGAAATTCGCGGCACTTTGTTTTGTAGTCACTGTAAAGACTAAGAAACTTTACATCTCTGTTTTCCGCATAGGAGGATCAGCGGTATCTCATCGAAAAGGCCAACATTGGTCACATTGTATCGCCTCAGTGGAAGAATTCGGGGAAAGGCAGCAAGAAAACTGTCGCCCTGCTCGAGGATTTCTACAACGAACTATCGGACAAGCAAGTGAGGGAATTGTATCGGCTCTTCATGTACGATTTCGAGCTGTTCGGCTACAGCATCAGAGACTTCTATCGCAATACGACGGACAAGCCATCAGTTCCCACCACTTCGGTCAAGTCTGAGACAACACTGAGGCCACATTCCTCCGACTGAGTGCCCGCACATCCACCCTCAACTGTGATGGACGAGAGAAGGACAATAGAGGCGTTGTCTGTGAAAGGATTCAATTGATCTCATCAGATGAAGCATCAGAGTTTAAGTAGAGGACTTTTAGGTCAACTATTAACTTAGTAAGCATACTTTGAAATACCACAAAAGGCCTAGTCAACACACAAAACAGTCTAACTGCAAAAAGAGAGAGAGAGAATAATTATATAGAGTAGAATTGTAGCCAGAAAAAAAGTGAGACGTTGAATTTTTCCTCAGAGTTTTGTTCACCTTCACAAAGTGCGGCAAACAAGTCAATATTTTCGCCCCTTTTCACATGTTACTTTCAACATTACTATTGCTGGTCTTAATTTTTGCCCAAAACAATCAACACGACATTGTTTCCCATGTTTTTTTTCCTCCCCATTTGAAAGCTTTATGTTAGAGGTCGTTGCAACTTTATTTTCATAATATTTTAAATAAAATGTCAAATATATGAATTCGTAAAAACTACCTTGCAAGATTGCAATTCATAACATTTACGAAAGTAGGGAATTTATCTTCTAAGAAGGCCAGACAGGCCGAAAAATACACGTGAAAATCAAGAAAATTGATAATAATGACGTTTTCAGATTGATTTGTACAAATTTATTTGATTTATCTTGTCATTTGTGCACATTTCAATGCACTAAATTGAGGTTATGTGTTTCCGATCATCCTTCGACCTTTTCCGATGAAACTGATTGACTTTTCAAAGCATTTTCAAGTATATTAAATAAATATGTTTTGTTTCTCTTTATTTCTCACGCGTTTTCTTCAAATTCTTCGCGTTTAACAGCTGAAATTCATATTAAATAAACTCCCAATTTTGCCTTGCAACGCCTTCTCGTTCGTATTTCATTCGTACTTTACACTAGCAAAAAAAAGCATAAAGTTGCAACCCAAAAATCGTAGCTTTTACGAACTGAAATACGAAATATGTAAAGTTGCAACGACGCGTTAGTATATATTTTAGGCATTTTAGGTGTGTTTCTGATTAGATTACAATCTGTATTATTTGCTAACTCAGAATTCAGCTTAGATAGAAGCAGTAAATGAAGAATTCAGAGAAATTGACCAACAAATTGAAGCGTTAAAGTTTGAAGCGTAAAGTTAGAAAAAACATTGCAATTTGAAACAATTAGTAGAATTAAAAGGCAGAAAGTGATAGTGTATCTTAAATACACCTAAAAAATTAAATCGAGGAAGGGAAGAATTGTAGACATTTTTGGATTATTCATCGAGTTTAACCACAGCGTTTGAATAATTAGGAATAATAGACGAATAGTGCGTGAGAATGAATTGTATGAGCTTTGAATTCCTATGAAATAAAAGTGAGTGAGAATTTACCTGGAGTAGGTTGTATTGAAGATGGGAATGCCGAACACGATCCTGTCATTGTGGAGCTTCAGCCACACTTCGCCGTACTTCACCAGCGGCGCAGCCTCATCGGGAGCCTGGAATGAAGTGCGCTTTAGGTGAGAAAAACCCTTCAGAAACCTCCATGGAAAAACTGAAAAACTCACTCCTGTGCTCATTTCTGGCGGCCCATACTTTCCCACATGGCGGATCTTGTGCAACTCCTCTTGGATGAGCTTTCTGCGCATTTCCAGGTCACTCTCGAGCTTCCTGTTGCGCGATTCCAGACATTGCAGGAGAAAACCTGAAGATTCATCCTCTTTCTCATCACTTTCCATCTCATCCTCGTCCAGGAAAGCTATCTCTTGTGATATTCCATCAGTTCTCATGATGTTCACCGTGCAATTTCCCTCTCCGGATCTGTCTTCAATGTTTACAGATGAGATAAAATCTTCTGTCCTCCGGAGCTCTAAAGAATCCTTCAGTCTCTCCACAATAAACAACTTCTCGTCACACTGAATGAGGTAAAAGACTTGTCGACTCTTTCTCTTGCTGTATGCGAAGAATAATTGCATGGAAACTCGTGCAGGAACTGGAAGAGATGGAAAATCAACAGGTAAATTATGCAAATATTCCGGGAAAACATTGAGGTTAAGTCACACCTAAGGGATGTTTTACAGCCACTTCCAAGCCATCCAGACAATATTCCCTGACGATCTCTCTGTCCCAAGCCTCATAGTAATGTCCACGAGCAGTGAGAATGGCGAAAAATGTGCATTTTGGCCGAATAACAAACTTCTGCACAAGAATTTTATCCTCCATTGCGATGAGCCACTTTGGAAGGTGTTTCTCACATAAATCACTCTCATCACCATCCATATTCAGCACTTTCTGTGAAAACAGGCTGTCTTTTACCAAATTGAGTCACTAAACTTGCACAGAAGGGCGGAATTCTACAAGAAAACACAGGAAAAGTAGAAAGAAAACAAACAATGCGCGGGAATCGACAAGCACGTCACAGAAACTCCAACACCCGCCGCCACAGACGCCACTGTCAGCCAAGGAGTTTTTGCAAAATCGAGGGAAAATTTTACATGAAAAAATTTATTAACTGATTTTTTGAAGTTCTTACCACTTTATCTTCGGTTACATTTAATTAAACTATCAACTAAAGGACATAAAAGAAACTATAAATCATCTCCATTGTATCATCTAACGCAAATTGTACGAATTTTAATATGAAATTTCTCTATTTTTCCTTTCTTAAACTTTTTCTTCTTCTTCTTCTTCTTCTTCTTCTTCTTTAATGCATTTTTTTCTTCTTTATTTTATACTTCAAATTCCTCCGATTTTTTGTTTATATAATTACTATTTTTCCTCCTCTTTTTATGCATTTTCTCCACTTTTTTTTCTTTTGTTAATTAGATATGAGTTGGTGTTTTAGTTTTTTTTTTAAATTATAAATTACGTAACTTTTTTCTCTTTTTGCTCTCTTTTTTCTCACCATCCATTTTTTTGTTTAATTAATAATTTATGTTATAATTTAATATATCTCATCGCCATCCCATTTTTTTAATTTGCTAATAGATTTTCTTGCCTTTTTTTTACACATTTATTCTTCAATAGTTTTAGGGTTTAAAAAAAAACTTCCTCGGTTTTCATCATCTTCTTCTTCTTCTTTACAATGTAATGCCGTTGTTTTTTTCTGCTTTTTGTTTTGGATCTCATTAGCGGAAAATAACTGTATAAAATATAAAAAAAAAAAGAAAATATTATTATTGTAAAACGCTTTTTGTTTTTGCAAGAGAGTTTCTTCCTTTAAACATTCTGTTCTATTTTTCTTCCTCTTTCTTCTCTTTTTTTTGTCTTCAACTTTGTATAAAAAGCCATTAACTTTTCCAATTGAGTTTTTTTTTTGTTATGAACACATTTAAGATTTTTCCTCTTTTTTCTCACTTTCAAGTAAAATCTTCCTGGTTTTCCTTCATCATCTTCTTTTTTTTTATATAATAAATACATTTCTATTTTTTTTTCTTTAATATACTTTTTTTTCTTTAAACATTATTGAGACTTTGTGAAGTGGTTTTTATCTGGGTTTTTTTTTGCTTCTTGTTGTGAATATTTGTTTATCTTTATTGCCTTAAGTTTAGAGTGTAATATTTAGAAATTCTTTAACTATGTTTTCACTTTTCTTTTCATTTTTTTTACTCTTCTATTTTGGTAAGTTTTTCACTCTCTCACGTTTTTTTTCTCTTCTTTTCTCCTTTTGCTTGTGAATGCGCTACTCGTGTTTCTTCTCTATGTATATTTAGACAAAAAAAAAACATTGCTCTTGTTGACAGAAAATAAAAAGAAAAATTGAGAAACTATAATTATCCATCAAAAATCCTATTAAATTTGAGAAAATAAGAATTTATTGGTTTCACAAACCAACTTTTCTCTCTCACTTTCTTTCCTTTCTTTCATAATTTACGCCCTCGATCATCATTTTTTCCTCCTTGTTTAATTACTATATTTACATCTGCCTATTCACTAATTTATACAATAAGTTGTTACCACTGTCTTCGCATCCATAAGAACAATATTTTCTCCTCTTTCAATATTTTCCTCCTTTCTTTTTGTATTCTCAATCAATTTAAGCTACTTAATTGGGGACTTTAATCGCCTATCTCACTCCCATTTTCCTTCCTATTCCACAATAATGTCACTTTCTCCACTCTCTCTCTCTCTCTCTCTCTTTCTATGGTACATCGTGATCCCTTCCGCACACTTGACGCATGTCTTCGTGCTTCTGCAACAGCGCAGTTGCGTGTGTCCAATGCTAAAACATCTAACGCAACTAAATTTATTCGACTTAGTTTCTCTCTTTATCATTTAAAAATCAAGCAATTAAGGTTTTTTTCCTTCCTCTTTGTGTAGTCCTTTTTCCTTGTATATTTTCCCCATCACTGTTCGGTGTTGTTTTGAACTGAAAACACCTTTTTTCTTGTTGTTGTTGTTGTTGTTGAAGAAAGAAAAAGAAAATCCACTCAATTGCGCGCACTCATAAATGGGATGATTTGTGTGTGGTTAAATATTTGTTTAAAAACAACTCCTTCAATCGTCCTTTTAACCACTTTTTCTCTTCCTCGTCTCCTTTTTGATGAATCACAGCACGACAAACTTTAGAATTTCATCTGAATTTTCACTGTATTTTTATTTTTAAGGTTTCTCTTGACATTCAAATCTGCTTGACGGTTGAAAACAATTCTTGGGAAGTGTGAAACCTCAAATTTTTGATAAAGTAATTTCCTTTCCATCTAAATTTCCATTAATATTACACATCAATTCTTAAAGAAAAACAATTATCTGATCAAAAAAAATAATGTCCAAGAGTCTCAAGATCCCATTTTTTTTCCTTTAGCCATAAAAACAGTATAAACAGAATATATTTGTATCAGCTTGTCTTTTAAAATAAAGCTTAAAACATGTTTTCTTATCTTCTTCTCTTTCTTCTCCTTTTTTTTTTGGACAACTAAAGTGGAAAATCAACGTGATTTTTCTCAACTCTCATACAATTTCTCAGAGATTTTTCTTCTTCTTCTTCCTTTTCACTCCTTCTTTTCCTTCTGTTCTCTCTCGTCCTGTCGCACAACACACAAACACAACAGACAAAGAAACACATCATCACTTCACAACGTGAATTGCAGTTAATGTCCACCGCTTTCTTTTCTCTTCTTTCTCTTCTTTCATTTGACGAAACACAAGAAAGGGCAGAATAAGAAGTTCCTCCCCTTTTTCGCAAAATTCCGCACAATTTTAACACCATAATCCAACATCATCAGCGTCAATTCTATCCGTTTGTGCGCGTGTTGTGACGATTCTCATCACCATTTCTTCTTCCTCCTTCCATTGCACCGAAACATCTGAGATTTGTGGTCCAAAGTGTCCATCACTTGAGGTAAGCTTTGTAAAGCATTGTACTCCTACACGTGTCTCTCTCCTGCTCCAGATAGAACAGCATGTCGCGCATGTTGACACGCTTAATGCGCGGACGAAGGGGTGTTGCAGCTAAACCAGTAGCGCCAACGCCAGAAGCACCCGCCTTGAAAAAGAAAAGAGACACACAAGAACACATCATTTCCATTGTCAAAAGGCCCATGAAAAGCATTTGCAACTCACCACTGCCGTTGATGAAATTTCCCCGTCAAGACGAGGCTTTTTCCTTGGTCCGATCGCCTGAAGAGCCGTCAAATTTGCGTCTCGCTGTCGCAATTCTTCCATTTCCGCTCTCTGCATCTCTTTCGCCTGAAGAGCATAAAACAGACAAATTTATTACAGACATTTTTCACAGAAGAAATTTTCTCAAAAACAACTTACCTTTGCCTTCAATTTCGCCTGCTCTGGATCTTCTGTTTTCGATCTCGATTTCGCTGCTCTCAGCAACATTTCACGCTCTTGCTCTTCATGACGCTTTTGCTCCGCCTTGTCCAGTTCCTCCAGGAATTTTATCTGGCCTCTCACATCTTTCGTCACTTCATACCGAGGATCGAGCTGATCAAAGAGAGAGAAAATTTGTATTAAATTACCAATTACATACAATACCCTGAAGAAAAGATTCAGGACATAGAAAATCAAAACTTTAAACCGCCATAACTCCAGTTCTATAATTTCAATCTTCATAAATGTAAGTTTGTTAGAAAAGTCTTTATCTCAGCTACAACATACTGAAATTTGAAGAAAATGCATCGTCTTGTTTTTGAGTTATATTGATTTAAAGTTTAGAAAATTGTTACTGCGATTTTAGCGCTCCTAGCGGTGGTCCTATCAAATTATGATGCTTAAGTGGAAGATGGCATTTCAAGAGACATTTCCAATGAACTCAAAACTATTCCGATCGGTTAATAAGTAGCGGAGTTATGCTCATTTAAAGTTTCAAAATTTAGGCCTTGAAATCTAGAGTCTGGAAGGACCTAGGTCTTTAAGTGATGGTTTGTTGGAAAGATCTTAAGACCAACTGTAACATACTAAAATTTGGGGCTGATACAGGCCAAAGAGACTGAGCAAAATGAGAAAAGTATGTTTTAGAGGTATTCAAAATGGCGAACGATATATCGATGTCTCTAATCTTAATAAGACAAGAAATTCACCTTGATAACGTCAATTCTGTGCTCGGCAATCACAGCCAACTTTTCGACTATGTTCTTGAGATGCTCCTGCGTGGCGTGCGATATGAGAACCGCCACCTCGTTGCTGGGCTCCTCCAGGCCATGCTTCGCCACAATCGCCCGCATGACGTTCTGCAGCGCGGGCAGATGCAGAAACACCTCGTCCTTGCACGAGCGGATCTGCGTGCCGATGAGCTCCGTGGAGCCCAGGATGCGCTGCGTCTCCTCCGCCAGATTCACACCGCCCATCGCCGCCACATCGTTGATATCATCATCGCCGTACATCGACGACGACATGGACAGTGTGGATTGTTGGTAGAAGTTGGCCGCCTTCTTCTCCTTGTCCTTGGCCGCCGCCGCGGCGCTCTTCTGCGCCTGGGCCGCCGTCTGGGATTTCACAGTCATCGCCTTCTGCATCACACCGCCAATGCTGCTGTTGCTGTTCAGCAGCGTCGCATTGGCAATCCCACTGCCGGCACTTGGCGTGATTTGCTTGATTTGCGTAGCACCGATCTTGATCTGCGTCGCTCCCTTCGTCGCCGTCGGCGTTCTCACGACAGGCGTCGTCGTGCGAATGTGCACCGCTGACTGTGGACGCGTTAGCGTCGTTGGTGTTCGAATCTGGAATGGAAAAGAGAGAAAAACTTCAATTCCTGCCTCTTCGCGATCTCTTGATCAGTTTGACTATTGAATCGTTGCAACATTACGACTTTCGTTCTTCAATTCGTAAAAGCTAGCAATTTGATTATGATTTCATAGCTTATATTGACGGCCGCCCGGCGGCGCTAGTGTAAAGTACGAATGAAATACGAAAGAAAAGGCGTTGCAAGACAAAGTTGGGAGTTTATTTAATACGAATTTCAGCTGTCAAAGTCATTTTTTTGCGAGATTTTCTCTTTGAGGGTGTTGTAAATGCAAAATTTCCCAACTTTTCTCTTATAGTCCATTTTGAAACTAATTTCAAGCGTCTTCAAAGAGTTTTCGACGATCACCAAAGGATGTTTTCAACGCGAAAAATGAATTCAAAAGAGCAAAACAGTGAATCTCAATGACAAGATATCTTCATCCGCTTCATTCCCTGACATTAAGTGCATTTAAGATGGGATTCTTGAAGAATTCTGCTGTTCAGAATGTCCAGGAAAATATCTTTGAAATATATGAACAATAAATTGAATAAAAACATAGCTTTTCATGTACTTGAAAATGAGTTGGAAATCCAATAAGTTAAGAATGTCCAGAAACACATAACCTCAATCTGGTGTATTGAAATCCAAAAAATATGTGTTTATCTACATTAAAACCATTAATATTGTCTATTTTCTTGATTTACACGTGAATTTTCTTCAAACATGAAATATTTGAAACATTTCAAGTCTCGCAAGAGATAAATTCCTCACTTTCGTAACTGTTATGAATCGTAATCTTGCAACATCTTTTCGAAATCTCTTTGGCATCTCTTTGGCTTTAAAAAAAAACAACTCACCTGTCCCGTTGGCGAGAAGACCGTCTGCGTGGGCGTTGAGCTCACAGGATGCAGAGCCGGTGGCGTTGACTGAATGGCGCCGGCTGTCTGGACAATGGCATTCGCTCCCGGACGAATCTGCGCTACTGTGCCGCCCGTGAGTCTGGGTCCCGTGGTGCTGATCGGCGTCTGAATCCGCACCGGAGCCGCATGTCGCGTGATGGTCGTCTGCATCGGCCGCGGCCCACTCGGCGTCACCATTCTCACCTGCGTGGGCAGCGTCGTCACGCCGGATGCGATCGTCTGGCCGATGGGACGCACAGTCGCCTGAGTAAAGAATGCCCGGCATTTTATTAGAAATCCCTGTGGAATGTGGGATAGAAGAACTCACCGGAATATTTGTAGTAATCGTTGTTGTCCCTGAAAATGCCACTGTGTGCGGTGGCGGCTTAATGCCCTCAATCACCAGCTCCTTCTTCACCAGCGACTGCCTCAGGAGCGGCAGACTTTTCTGCAAAAACAACAACACACAAATCGTCAATTTGCTGTCTTATGCAGAAGCTAAGAAGAAGATTGAAACTCACCCTGAGGAATCCAATAAGACACGGCTGTGGACTAGCGTTGAGCAGACGCTCGAGGCGATCGCAAAACTCCTCCGGTTCCACATTTGCATCAATCAACTCCTGTATCAGCGTCCTCACATTCCTCTCCACCGTCTTCGGCTCACGACTCGACAACTCGAGGAGATTGGCCAGGAATTTGCGGCACTTCTCTTTGGTATTGTGCAAATTTTGATTTGTCGGTGTCGCATTTGCCGTCACAACCACCGCCGCCGTTGCATTCTGCGCGGCCAACGCGGGAACCGGCGCCACGGAGGCAACAGGTGGAGGAACTTGCGATGTCTGTGTGGACAGGATTTGCGTCTGCTGCGCCGACATTGCCGTGCTCGCTGTCGTATTCACCACAATATTGGCCGTTGTTGTTGTCAATGTTTGCTGCACAGAAAGAAAGAAGGAAAAACCCCAGAGAAATTAGTGTCATCATCGGAATTACTTCCAACTTTTAACTAACATTTAAAAAGTCTTCAAATAATATGGAAATTTCTTCTACAAAAATTCGTGCAAAGCACGAATAAACAGTGATGATCATTGAAAATAGGCTCCATTTTCACAGAACATCCTTGCATATTCACTTAAAAACAATCATTCAGAGATAATTTATAACCATTGAAGGTTCATTTATGTACATTGAATATAAATTGTACGATAAATAAAAGATAATAGAACACAACAGGGGAAACAAGAAACGGAAAATTCCCTCCATCTCGAAAAAGGCTAACAAATCAAATGTGAAGCACTTTTTCTAACAGCTCTTAACAACAATATTTCCTTTCTAAAATACTTAATCTTGAATGTGAAAATTGAGGCAGAAATTTACAAATCATGCATTTTATCTTTATCACATATTAATTGACAATCCTTCAGAATGAAACATTTAAAGCCGGAGAACATATAAAAAAGAAAGGAAATTCATTCTCAACAGCAAAATGATACAAAATCAATAATTTATAGCAACATTCTCGGAATAAAAAAACATTGAGAGGACAAATTAAATGAAAAATATTGATAAATAACACCGATAAACATCGCGATAGAGAGAAAATATCAAATAATAAATAATAATGATAGAAAAGAGACAATTGAGGGAGTAAAAAGTGTCGAAAAATTACATTTTGCTGCTTCTGTTTCACCTGTTGTTGTGTTACAATTGTCTTTCTGAGTGCCAATGGTGGCCCAGTGAATCTACTTACAGCCGGGACGGTTTGCAAGCGGATCGTTTGATTGGCGGACGCCGCCGTGGCGCCCATGCTGGGCGTCACAGGAGTCGCAGGCGCTGGTCCCACGCGCAACAATTGATACTGACCAGTTTCCGTCTTCAGCAGCAGCGCCGGACCCGATTGGCCAGCATTCAAGTTCTGCAGGGCACTCAGAGTGATCTGGAAGCGAGAGAAAAATAGATTTTAGCCTTTGAGTCAATCTTTCCTCTTTGGTAGCTCAAGAAGGACAACATTTCAGCTCCTTTTCTCACCCTTGAACCCTTGATTAACTTCATCTTTGCCAAGAACACACGGAAAAAGGACGATTTCTCAAGTAGAAATGCTTTAACTTTTGCCAGCACACTTTTTCAGTCAATCTTCAAACTCAGACTGTCTTTCATTTTCCTTTTACATCCCGTATTTATACCAAAAGAAACGTCAGACTGTTTCAGTGAAAACCCGTTTTAAATGACAATATAATTTGGAGACAATTTTTGAGCCTGTCAGAACAAATTGCCTGACTTAAATCCTACTAAGAGTGATTTAAACTTAGTCTAAAGGTTGTTAAAACACTCAAACGTTTCCCAACTAAGAAGCTTGACACACATAGGCTTAAGCCGAGAGAATACTTAGGCAATTTATGGCCATAATTAGTTTTTCAGGCTGTGATTTCTCTTGTTATGAATTTATTCTGTCCTTATGGCAAAATATCTGTGAATTCACGCACGTGAAATCACGATTGCGTTCACGACGTGACTAAAGCCTCTTAAAAGTCTCAAACCTCATTTGCAGTGTGTACAGAACTGTCTAAATATCCTCTAGCATTAATCTAATATCTAAATGACCGTAAGTGAATGTTTAAGACGTCTTAAAGTAGTTTAAAACAGTCTTTGCCTTTCTGAGTCACAAATGTAAGGCTTAAAATGGTGATAGTGGTAGAAATTTCACTATTTTCATACATTTTAGGTTTAACACAAGTGTTAAACCAATTTGTATCGCTGAAATCTAACGATTTGTTCAACAATTCTGCATTTCTGTTTCAAAAGAATGCATAAAAAGTAGTGCGAAAAATCGAAATGATGAAAATATCACGGATTTACTAAATTATTTCCCCATTTCGCTTCTCTTACACAATCTTGAATCGCTTAAAGCCCTGAATTTGAGTGAGAATCACTCCATAAATGAGTAAACTCTTCCTTTAGGACATTCACAATGAATGAACTGAAGTGAATGGATGAATATTAGGCCCTAAAAGCACTTTATCCCCGAGTGACTTAATCCTGGAGTTAATCCAGCAGGTAGAGAGTGGCGTCCGGGGACAACTTACAGCTGAATTGGTGGGTCTGGCGCCCAGCATTTGCGTGCCGCCCAGCACGACTCTGGGCTGGACGGCCGCCACGGACTTCTGCTGCGCCTGCGACGGCGTGCCGGGCCGCATGTTGACTATCTGCACGCTGGCGGGCAGCATCGCGGGCGTCGCCACGATGTTCTGCGTGGTGGCCTGCAAAGAGAGCGTGAGTGGGTCGCCCCGGAGTGGCTGAGTGAGTGAGGTTAGGACCGACCTGGTTGATTGTCTTGGTCATTGTGACCATTCCGGGTGGCGCGGACGTGATGCCCGGCGCCATGCTGACTTGGTTCTTAATCACTATCGTCGACTGCTGTGACTGCGCGGGCTGAGATTGGTTCTGCGATGTCTGGGGCGTCTTGGCGTTGGCCGCCGTCTGCATAATTGTGGCCTGCGTTGTGATGGGCGAGAGACTGATGGTCCCGTTCGGCAAAGTCTGGCCCGTGAACGTCACACGATTGTTCATGTTAAGCACTGTCGGGGCGGATGTCTGTCCGTGGCCGCTGCCGCCGACCACTGTCGCCGCTTGTGGGTACACTAGCTTCACCGGCTCATTGCTATTCTTTGGCATATTCGACACAGCCGGGCCCTCTAGCGCCGCGTGGGGCCCCTCGCTCGCGCGCTTGTAATTGTTATTGTTGTTCGACACACTTGCACTCCTGCTATCACTCACGACGGGTCCATGTTGCAGCTTGTGCGGAGCCTCACTGAACGCCGCGCCCCCGTTCGACACCAGCCCGCTCACCGTCGCCCCGGTCGCCTGCCCCTGCGCCAGGGACACCTCGTGGCCCGACTCCGAGTGGTAGGCCGCCTCCCGGACGTCGCTCAGGGCCGCTGATGGCTCAACGTCTGTGCTGCTGACTGCTGACGCCATTTTGTAAACTGAACGCAAACGTAGTAGATCATTGTGCTTTTTATCCGCTCGCTCAAACACCTTTTCCCACCGTCGCGCACGCTTTATTCCATCAACCCTCGGCACCCGCGACACTCATCACCACTATCACACCACATGCACCAACTTAAAGACACTTTTCGTGTGATAAACTCATGGGAAAACAACCGAGATTTGGGGGAAAAATCATCAAAAGCCGTCATTAGCTCCGCTTGGAGGCGCTCGCGCTACGCCACTTGACAGCTCACCCGTGGTGAAAAGGTGAGTTGCGATGTTGCGTCAGCGTTTCACGCCGCGCTGGAGTTGCGCGAAACACTTTCCTCCGCGAAATTTATGAAAGATTTCAACAGATCTGCTGAGCTTCTCCTCAAGTCATCGAAGAGTTTTTAAGGCATAAATAAACTTGAGCGTCTGCAGTTTAATAAAGTCTATTTATTTGCAATTTCTCACAATTTGAAATTCTAAAGTTCAAAATTAAAACTTAAATAATATTGTTGGATATTTAGATATATATACAAGTTTATTTCATTTTTAATATCTAAAGTGTTTTATCGCTTAATTCTACTATTTACAATATTCCCAAATTCTATTTGTTTCTATTGTTTTGTTACGTTGTTTGAATTTAATGAACTTAGACATAATTTAGATACAATTCATCAGGTCTTACCAATTATGTTTTATTCTTCTTAGATAGATAGATAGAAAATCCTGCTTTTTCTTCTTATTTCCGATAATCGATAATAATATTGTTGAATACGTTGAATATTTCAGTTCTCTGCTTTTGCTTCATTTCACATACAACAGTGAAACATGTTTCTTCGTGAAACACACGAAAAACGCAGTCTTCAATCGGGCAACACGGCGAGTGGTGAATTTATGGAGTGGTGGAAAATCCGTCCTGAGTGCATGTTGAACCGCCAGAGGGCCAGTTGACTTGACAAAAATAACACTTTTTTGTAGGTAAAATAAAATTTAGCAATAGGAGCTAGTAGAGAATGCCGCTGCCACTTATTATGCAGGTACGTGATCCCTGGGTGTCCTTCTGTGTGTCCGCGGTGTTTGCATGGCGGGAGTTTGTCAACTGACTGGCGAAGAGTGCTTGTACTTTTCCACCCAGGATTGAGGTTATATTGATGTCTCGGGGTTGCTTTTTGGGTGATTTGGGGGTGGTGCATCTTGCGGCTGTGCAGGGTGACTAATGTGTGTGCTTGCAGAACGCCGTGGAGCCGATGCAGGTGGACGTGGAGGCGGTGGACAACGAAAATCACGAAGAGGACACTTACGTGGTGGAGAATCCGACACTGGATCTCGAGGTGTACGCAAACTCCTACACCGGCCTGGCCAAGTCCTACCGCCTCATGTTCATCGCCGACCACTGTCCGTCGCTGCGCCTGGAGGCGCTCAAGATGGCCATCAGCTACGTCACCACCACATACAACGTGAGTCTGTATCAGTTGCTGCACAAGAAGCTGGCCGACATGAATCTGGCGGCGTCGCTGCCGGACGTGGCGGCGCAGGGCGCGGCGGCCGGCGCCCCCAGTCAGGACATACCCACCTTCGACACACTCTGGGCGGACACGAAGAGCAAAAAGGCGGCGCTGAAGCTGGAGAAGCTGGACAATGATCTGAAGAACTATCGCAGCAACTCGATCAAGGAGAGCATCAGGCGCGGCCACGACGACCTGGGCGATCACTATCTCAACTGCGGCGATCTGTCCAATGCCCTCAAGTGCTACTCACGCGCCCGCGACTACTGCACGAGCGGCAAGCACGTGGTGAACATGTGTCTCAATGTGATCAAGGTGTCCATTTACCTGCAGAACTGGTCGCACGTCCTCAGCTACGTGTCCAAGGCCGAGAGCACGCCCGACTTCGCCGAGGGCTGCTCCAAGGATGCCAACCAGGCCGTCGTGACGCGCCTCAAGTGCGCCGCCGGCCTGGCGGAGTTGGCCACGAAGAAGTACAAATCGGCCGCCAAGCACTTCCTGCAGGCCAACTTCGACCACTGCGACTTCCCCGAGATGATCTCCAGCAGCAATGTGGCCATGTACGGCGGCCTGTGCGCCCTGGCCACCTTCGATCGCCAGGAGCTGCAGAAGAACGTCATCTCGTCGTCGTCGTTCAAGCTGTTCCTGGAGCTGGAGCCGCAGCTGCGCGACATCATCTTCAAGTTCTACGAGAGCAAGTATGCGTCGTGTCTGCGCCTCCTGGACGAGATACGCGACAATCTGCTGCTGGACATGTACATTGCGCCCCACATCAATGCCCTGTACACGCAGATCCGCAACAGGGCGCTGATCCAGTACTTCAGCCCGTACTTGTCCGCCGACCTGCGGAAGATGGCCACGGCGTTCAATCGCACGGTGGCGGCGCTGGAGAATGAGGTGATGCAGCTGATCCTGGACGGGCAGATTCAGGCGCGCATTGATTCGCACAACAAGATTCTTTACGCCAAGGATGCGGATCAGCGCAGCTCCACGTTCGAGAAGGCAATCAATGTGGGCAAGGAGTATCAGAGGAGGACGCGAATGCTGATCCTCCGGGCGGCGATGCTCAAGATTCAGATTCACGTGAAGGTGAGCGAAAGTTTTCTTTTTTTTGGGGGGGCTTTTTGTTTTATTTGATAGAAAATCACGAAATAACGTAGGATTTTGTGCTGACGCAGAATCAACCCCGTGATAGTGGAAACCACACTGCGGAGATTTGCGTGGCTTCGGGATCCAGCAACACATCCACGAATGCCGTGAGTGGCGGAGGACTTCGCAACTGAGCATCCTGCGTGCGCGCGACAAGGAGAGACACTGAAGAAGATGCACATTGAATTAAAAAGAAGAGGACGAAGAGAGAGATTACTTCCTGTGCCTTTTTGGCGTTCGCGAGCGACTTCTGGACTGTCTTCGATGCTTCCTTGAGCGCTTCTTCTCCTCCTCAGACTCATCACAGGTGCTGGAGTCTCGACGGTGCTTCTTGGACTTGGATTTCTTCTTCTTGCGACTCTTCTTCTCGATCTTCTCCAGCTTCCGCAGGAGTTTGCGCTTCTGCTCCGTGGACAGTGACTTGAGAAATGCCATTTCGGGCTTCTTCACCGACTCATCGGCCTCATCGTCGCTGGGGATGAGCTGATGCAGGCGGCCAGACTGGAAGCTCTGCAGACTCATGGCGCTCTTGCGCATCGCCAAGCCATCTTCCTTCATCTGCTCCTCCAGAACGCCCTTGGCCATGATGGACTGCGCCTCGGCCTCCGAGTGGAGCTTCCGCGCCTCGCTCATGGAGATGCTGTACATGGTGCACTCCTTGTCCGTGTTGATGTGGCCCCACTTGTGGCACTTGATGCACCGCACGTTCCTCACCTGGATGCCGAACGGCTGATCCCGGATCTCCGTGTCGCCCTTGCAGTAACTCTCGCGCGGCGCATTGTACTTGCGCTGCCACTCGAACTTGTACTCCGGCTCGTTGTCCTCCTTCTCGCGCTCCTTCCGGACACCCGGCGGCGGTTCGTACATGAAATTGATGCTCAGTTTGTCCTTGCTCTCCTTGCTCAGCATCGCCTTGTTCTCATGCAAGTCCTGCTCCTTCTCGTACTGCGCCCGCAGCTCCTCTTGCTTCTTCTTGTACGCCTCAGCCTGCTGCTCAGCCATCCAGACCTGGGGAACGACAGGAAAATGCGTGTGAGAAGAACCATCCGGAAGCTTTGTCTACAGTCACTCAACGCGAACACCACGATTACTCACCCTCTTGAGATTATCCCGCGAGGCTGGATGAAAGAACTTCTTGCACATGTAGTTATTAAAACCTTTCCCCATCTTTTCTGCCCTTTTTCACGCCGCTATCCTAGAAAAAATCCTTGTTCTTCTTACAAAACAACACGCAATGAAATTTCTTCCCTTCTCAGCTGTCAAACTTCACTGACTTTCAACGCCATCTGCTGTGTTTTTCTCACCCAACAAACTGTGAGGTTAGGATATGAAAATATTTTTATTTGGGGAAAATCATGTCTTGAAGCAGCCCTCGAGGAAAAACAACGCATCCACAGATGATATCGCCATGTCCACGTCATTCTTCTGCAAGGTTTTCTTCTTCGCCGCCATTGTGTGCGTAAAGGCTTCCTTCACGAGGGCATCCAGAAACATTTCCGTGGCTTTTGTGGCCAGGACGAGCGCCTCGAGAGACACTTTCCCAGCCTCCTGGTCCAGCTTCATCATATTCTTGATCTTGCTCACGGGAAGTCGCAGTTTTTGCGACTGGGATGTCGTATTTTCAGCATCTTGAGGGTTTTCTTCTGTTGCCTCTGTTGATGGCTCAACAAATTTGTCACCCAAATACAATTCCGGATAATCCAAATCGTCAACATTGTCGTAATTCACATGTGCAGAGGGCAAATCAACATCCTCACTGTCCATTTTTACACGATTTTCCACGCGAAAGGGGAGAAAATGTGAATTTTCAGGAGGAAAACAATTTTGGCGCTCTCACTTTGACAATCCATTGACAGCGCCACAAAATCCAACCTCAAATGTTGCAGTGAAGAATTTCATGCGGTATTTTTCAAGAAAATCCTAGTAAATTTGCAATCCAGTGATGCTGTTGCGATTGAGTAGGATACTTCCCACCAGGTACTGTGTGTTTTACACTTCTATATGTGTTGTAATTGTGTGAATTTCGTAGAAAACCCTTCAACATTGTTCCCGGACGATTGCTTTCCGCTGAAGCCACGAAAACCAAGAAGCCCAGGAAGAAGGCCAGCAAACATGATCAGCAGGAGGACATGGCGGTGAAGTACACAGAGAGCCAAGCGGGTTTGTGGGCGGCTGAGCAGAGTAGGACGGGGCCCAAGGCTGCGGGCGTGTGGTATCAGCCGTACGTCATCGTGGCGAGCCTGGTCGTGTTCATGCTGTACTTCTGCGTCATCCGGGAGGAGAATGACATCGATCTGGAGCTGCAGAAGTCCCTCTACGATCGCATCGAGGGCCTGGAGGAGACTCAGCTGCGCATCTCGCGCACATACAACCTCGAGAACGGTCTGGACGTGAAAGACATCGACGCGCGACTCCGGGAACTCGGCGCTAAAATTTAGTCAAATCTCCATAATATAGTTTCCTAGCCATTAAAAGTCATCCGTGTATCGTGTAGTACATGTTTTTATTTGCGCTGAATTCAACTAAACACAGAAAGAACACGCGAGAGCTTCGCGCCGGAACGTCCAAAAGACTCTGCCTGCAGGCTCTTCGGCGCACTTCTGCCACTCGCACGATGTCTTGTACGACGAAAGATAGAAAAAATGGTGGAAAAAGATACTCATGGAGTGTGAAGAAGCTTAGGCGCGCTCGCCGCGGATTCGCCGTGCCAGCTGGATATCCTTGGGCATGATGGTGACACGCTTGGCGTGGATGGCGCACAAGTTGGTGTCCTCAAACAGGCCGACAAGATAGGCCTCGCTGGCCTCCTGTCGGAAGACAAAGAGACAAAAGACAGGTGAGAAAAGAGCGCGCGAAATTGGGACGGAGAGAAAGCTAACCTGAAGCGCGCCAATGGCGGCCGACTGGAAGCGCAGATCGGTCTTGAAGTCCTGCGCAATCTCACGCACCAGACGCTGGAAGGGCAGCTTGCGGATGAGCAACTCGGTGGACTTCTGGTAGCGACGGATTTCACGCAGCGCCACAGTTCCGGGACGATAGCGATGGGGCTTCTTCACGCCGCCAGTGGACGGGGCGCTCTTGCGGGCGGCCTTGGTGGCCAGCTGCTTGCGCGGAGCCTTTCCTCCGGTGGATTTACGGGCGGTCTGCTTGGTACGGGCCATGGCTTACCTGGAAAAACACCACCGAAAAAAAGGGCGACGACAGTTCAGAAAGGGCGGCTTTGGAAAACAACAGCACGAGCGCGCCGTTCGGCTGCCACTCGCGTCGACTTCGGGCACACTTTGGCAACTGCGCAGGCCCGACGCCAGCAGCGCCTCTTTTCTCCCGCGCCTTTCCCAAACCCCGGAATAAGAAGTCTTCCCCCGGAGGGCCAAAAAGCCCGAGGCGGAACACCCAGAAATGCCCGCGAATGACGAGAAGTTCAGCGATGCGGGAAATTTCCCCGCAAAAACCACAAATTCAATCTCGCCACTGATTGGGAGCTTTTCTCCGAGGCGACGAGCGAAGAAATTGTGACCAAAAGTGGGGGGCCCGCTAGATAAAAATGGCTGCGACGCGTCCCTTTGACTGCCCTCGGAGTCTCGAGAGAAAATCCCCTCAGAAATCCCCCCAAATCACGTGCTCGACTGTCTTTTTCCCGCGCACTGGGATGCTGGCGCCCCCGGGGGGACGCAGTGTGATGAAATGTGCACAAAAACCCACCTTGTTTTGATTTATCGACGATCTATCAACACAACTGCACGAGATGCGAACAATTTCACACGAAAGACGCGAGAAAACTGCGGACGAAGCGTGACAGCGCCTTCGTCGGCCATCTTCGGGCGAAGCGGTTGAAGTTCGTACAACGAACCGGTTCAACGGGGTGAATTTTCACGGATTTTCACTGTGTTTTTGCTCCTCGTGTAAAACACCCTCTTCTTGACTTTTTCTCCTCCTCAGACATAAATTGTGATTTCCCAACTGACTGATTTTACTTTAGGTGTTTTCTCAACGAAATATATTCCTTGTGTTTCTGTGAAAATATCTAATTTTGCTGTGCATAAAATCCCAGCGTGAAAATCCAAATTGATTTTTCAAAATTTCCACCTGAGAACTTCAGCGCGGTGACCTTATTTTTCTCTACAGACGGAAAAATAGCAAGAAATCAAGGTAAATCACTCTTCCTTAAACCCTCAAATAAATGCCCAAAAAGGTGGTATTTTCCCTCTTGGGCATCAATCGATTAGCCGCAGTGCGAAAGTTCACAGCACGCTTTTTTGGGGTGGTTTGAGGCGCCCTTTTCCCACCCATGATTTCCACATGGCTTCTCCCTCGAGATCTCCACACATCCCTCAGCCATCTGACCGGCAAATTATCTCATCGGTGAGCAACAAACCTGTACAGGTGTCTCCTAGTCACACAGTAATAATTAAATATTGCACGCGAGATAAAATTGCCCTGCTTTTCCATCGCGCCATGGAGGAAAAATCAATTTTCTGTGCCAAATGCCACACAAGCACCGCTCTTCTGTCGCACTCTCGGCCTCATTGTGAGGGCGGGTGGCGATTTGAAGCGACTGAATCATTGATAAGATGCAATTGATTGGGAAAATCAGCTGGAAAGCGCGCTTTTTTCCCATCGCCGCCACTGGATGGGTGACGTAATCGGCATGTTTTCACCGCCACTGCACGCACACGCTCGACACGAGACGAGCCGAGAGTGCACGCGAAGCGAGCCGAGCGACAGTTCGGGACGAGAGAAATAGCAGCAAAGCAAGGCGGCGCCCACGTGGAGTACTGCGCCGGAACAATTTGCTGCGCCACTATTTCAAATACTTCCCTTATTGAGCGAATTAATTGATTCTGCCTTTGCAATGCAAATTTCTTCACATATTCTATCTGGTTCGCTAAAATAAAAAATTACATAATATTGGCTATCTTTTGAATGCGAGAAAATCACCTCAGTGTAGAATTGATAGTAAAATTTCGACTTGAAAACCCCGGGAAAGCCAAAATCAAAATCTCCGCAGCATTAAGTCCGCACATCGCTAAAAATTGTCATTGATGTTATTAGAAATACGGACCAGGCTTTGTTCCAGAGAAAAATTGAAGAAAGTAATTTTTCAGCGTTTTTTATTACACATTTTGCCCAGAGAAATTAAAGATTCTTGTACACTTAAAAGCATTTAAAGGAAATAAATAACTATTTTCGAGCGTTTATTGTCTCAAACGAGACTGAAAACCATGAAATATTTGACATCTTGTCATCTGGCCACACTGACCCGTTGACAAGTGCTTCAGAGAGCAATTTTTGACAGATTGCGAATGAAAAATAAGCTACTTAACACTTTTTTTGTGTTATTTGCGCCAAATGAAAGCTATTTGAAGTCAAATTTGGCCATAGTGACCGCAGAGCGCTTTCTAGTGTCAATAGTTTAATGATATTATGTGGCGTGAAAATTGTCCAGGGCATTTGAGAATTTGGAGAGTTGATTTTGTCAAGGATGTTTGGGAATTTCTGGACATGAAAATTGCTCTTGAAATTAGTATTTTATCTTAATTATTATTAAGTTTTCTCATAAATGTTTTATGACTTTTACTTTCCAATACACTTGTGTGTGTCGCGGCCACCGGCGTCACTCAAGCACGACCTTTGGTTCGGCCCAGAACTCTGGCTGCGCCACTCGCGGCCGCTCGATCTGCGCTGATCGGCAGCAGTTGTGGACTCACCGCGGTGAAGAGAGGGTGAATTCGCGCTCTCCCGAGTCACACTCTGATTTTGCAATCGCGTTTTTTCGCTTTGCTGAAAAATTATCACGACAAATTCCACCGAAAAATCGCCTGTTATCGCAAACAGTGAATCCCCACGAGGAATTATAGTTGATTTGCCAGGCAATTTGCAAACCACTTTTAGGGATTCCGTTGCACGACGGAGAAAGCAGGTGAAGAGAATTTGTGCAGTTAATTCCATAAGAAAATTAAATTAAGGCGAGGACGCGAGAGATTGACTCACTAAAAACCCGTGTTCAAAGGTCGCGCGCTCGTCACGGTAGAAATCTGTGCTTTTTCGCGCCAAGTTCAGCACGTGCGCGCGAGTTTATCAATGGATTGTCTGTGATTTCTTTGGGTTTTCTTTGCAGATTTTGGCGCTAAGGATCCCAATGATGATTTACGATCTCTTCCTGTACTTCATGGACCTTCCGCGGTGGCACTTTTTCGCCTTCTTCTCCGTCGGCTACTTGTGCTACTACTTCTGGGAGGTTGTTAAGGTAGATTCTGCTATGAATTGAGTCAATGAGATTGTGCATCACAATTGTTGGCCGTCCAAACTGGGGCTATAAATAGATATCCGCACGCTTTTGCCACACAATTTGCTGCCTCAATTGGCATTTTCCGTGCATTTTCTCAGACTTAAATCATTGGTTACAATCACTCACTTGAGCGTCTTCGAAGGCTGCGAAGTTTTTACAAGAGCACAGAAAGAAAAATTTGTAAAATTTTGTAAGAAGTGTCTGAAATTGTATGGAAAAATTACGAACATGCTTGTAAAAATGTTTTCCGGAAACGTCAAAAATCAATCTAACTGACATTTTACCAAACCTTCTCGTGAAAGCTTGTAATTTTTACTTGCCGTTTGTAATTCTATATAACTCTTCGTTTTAAATTCATTGAAATTCATTTTACCCTTAAATTTTAACATTTTTCCCTTATTTACTATCTATTTGCCTATATTTTTACTTTTATTTGATGAATTATGGAACTTGACAATCTTTTGACGAGGATGTAAAAGTTCGTAAAAGTTTGTCTTTTTTTGTAAAGATGTTCGAATTTTTGAACGAAAAATTACCTCTTTTACCGCCATTAAGAAATTTTATCACTATTTCGACTATTTTTTTTCCTTTCTGTGAGTACAAATCGAGAAAAAACAGCTGATTAACTGGGAAATGATAAGGCGTGATGGCTTTGAAATTGTACAATGAGAGATCTGAGTTATGAGCCAGTGATAAGGTTGGTTGTTTTTTGTCACAGAGACGAATTGAATTTCAATTGAACAAGGTTCTTTTGACAATATTTCTTCTGTGTTGGCGATGCGAAGAAGCATCAGATTTATGCAGAGAGAAGAAGATTCAATGGAAAACCTTGACGACAGTGAAGGTTGAGTTCGGTTTGAGAGTGTTTCCAAAAAATGTGTTAATTTTGTCGCTTTGCCATTGCATATCTGAAAATCTCACTGAATTATCCAAATCCAAAGCTTTGGATGATGTAATCGCAATGAGTCGCTTTGGATGTTTCTTATCTCAGAGCGACACTGATGACGGAATGAAATCTCTGATCAGTGATAAGAATTTTCCATCTCATTCGCGCTTAGTTTCTTAACAGTGCACTTCTGAGCCTCGAGATTGATTTGAGTTTATCTAAGCTTGAACTCGCTCGTCTCTCTCTCTCTCTCGATTTCTGGAATTTGAACTGCGTGAACTCTGAGGCTCATGAAAATAAACTTCCTTCATGCGCGTGAAACGCGTGCAGAAGTCAAGTGTTGAGCGTAAATGCTGGAATCTTATCGGCCTTTTTCGGGGGGGAGGAAAGAGAACATTGCAAAAGGCTTGCGCTCATTAAGTGGGTGATTTAATTGTGACAGAGCTGAAGCGGCTCTAGATGTGAGATAAAGACTAATCTCTCTTTCTGGTGTGTGATGATTTATTTGGCACCAAAGGGGAAAGTCACCCGCGATTTCAGATCATTAACTTTGTCATTATTCACTCATAATCATACATATTTAATTATTGTGTGAATTTTATTGATTGTTTTCTGAATATGTGAAATATAAATATTTCGCCACATAGTGCCGCTAGAGGGCTGCAGTTTAAAGGCATGTTAGAAGTTCCGATTGTACTTCCCAAAGGGAAATTTGACTTTTCTCCCGACATTTTGCCGTTTTCTCATAGGAAAATACAATCGGAACTTCAACATGCCTTTCAAACTTGATGAAAACCGGGCTTTGTCTTGAATTTCCTTCTGTCTTGGCAAGGAAATCATTTGAATCTCTTGCCAAAAATATTCAATTTTTGATTATTTGGCAATTTTACTTGAAAAATAACGACAGATGAATCGAAGACTATAAAAAATCAACTTTGGAAGAGAAAATTGTCAGTTTTTCAATTAACTTTGCTACTATTTTTGTCAAAAATTTCAATAAATGCCAACAAAATCAAGTGAAACAGCCATAAAATATTTATTACAGAGCAATTTTAGCATTTTAATGAACGATAATCAAATTTAGGGAATTTCGAGAATTTACATTATTTTCTGACTGTGTTCTTGCAGCGTCCGATCTTGGCGGTGTCTGAGGGACCCTTCAAGCAGTTTCTGCTGAAGAATGTGCCTACGCTGGAGATGAAGTTCTGGCCGACTTTCTGGTGTGTGGAGAGTCGCGCCCAGACGGTTTTTGCCTCAATTCTGCGCTCTCAGATCATTCCGCGCATCGATTATCGCCGCGAAGTGCTGACGCTGAAGGATGGCGGCGAAGTGGCGCTGGATTGGATGGAGGACGGCTGTGAGCAGGACGCGCCGCTCATTCTCATCCTGCCCGGACTCACGGGAGAGTCCCAGGCGGAGTACATCAAGTGCCTGGTCATGGCGGCCAATCTCATAGGCGTCAGAACGGTGGTGTTCAACAATCGCGGCCTCGGAGGAGTTTCTCTCAAAGTCAGTTTTGCCGCTGATTCTCTCTTTGTCACTCCGTAACGATGCTTTTATCTGCTCTGCAGACGCCCAGGCTGTACTGCGCCGCGAACTGCGAGGACCTTTCCGAGGTGGTGAATCACGTGAAGAAGCTCAATCCGACTGTGAATCTGGGAGCAACGGGAATATCGATGGGCGGCCTCATTCTGGGTGAGAACTTACATCACACATTCTCCTCACTCACTCGTGCTTCACTGATTGTCTCAAGGAAGTTTACTTTCTTCGGCACTCAAGACAGTGCGCGAATATTGGCTCAGTGAAATTTCATAACTCTCAATGATGATTGAAAATAAAATTTTTTGGCGGTTTTTGCGTGAAAGCCAATGACTGTGAAATATAAAACACCGACTTGCAATTAAAATGAAGCGGATGACTTAGTTATTCGTTAATATTCTTGACTGTCTCTGTGGTAAAAGGTAACATTTTTGAAGTAGTTTATTCGTGCACAGAAAAAATTACTACGCAAAAAGCTTGTGCTTTTTGGGTCGTGAGAAACTTGTCACGAAGTTTCTCATTTGAATATATTCTTTACTGTATTTATCTGTCGAGCAAAATCACGAATATTACTCAGTCTAGTTTCCTAAATTAATACCTTGAGATGATAAAGATAATTTATAGGGGAAAACTGGATGGTTTAATTCAAGTTTTTCTTGCTACAAATGAATCAATAAAAGCAGTTTAGAAATTCCACTCAATTTTCCTGCCATAAATCAATGAATAAATTACTGATATTCTGGACATTATAATAAGAAATTGACCTAAAATCACACTTTCTAAAGAGCAAAATGCTCTTTCTTTCGAGGATTTTTATTGAATCCTTCATAAAAAAAAACCTGTAAAGAGGATTTGAACCACGATTGAGGGGAAAAAATGAAGAAATGCAACAAAATATTAAACGATTGCTAAAAATAGACACAAAAATAAGTCGACAAATGAATTGAAAACTGTGAAAAGTTCGTTAAGTCGATTTTTCATAATTTATCTCTTATATATAATTGGATGATTTTTTTTTTATCTCTTTAAAGTACTTAAAAAATTTTGAGATTTGTATTTTCTATGACAATAGTAAGAAATCTTATTTAAAAAAAAGCAACTTTTATCTTAATTTACACTTTTTCATTTTGCATTTTGCATAAACACTTCTTTGATAAACATTCTAATAGCAAATTTCCATGATTTTCGTCAAATGTTTGTTCCTAAAAGACTTTAAATGGGACTTTAATTTTTCTTCAATATAAAACTTTGAAAAAAATTATGAAAAGTATTGAAAATTGATTTCTTACAACAAGTTCGGATAAAATGAGCTCAAAACTTTGACTTTTAATAGTTTTCAATTCACCTGTCGAAATCGAAAAGCTCAAATTAAGGCGCATTTATGATGTAAAATATCTTTATTACTTAATTTTTGCTGTTCTTTAACACTTAATCTCTCTGTATAAGGAAAGATCATTAATTCTGATAATATCTTGACTTCAGATGTCTCAGAAAATGACAGAATTTGGCCTAAATTTCTTTGGTGTCTTAAACAAATTTTCGCCACTGTATATCATTTACCGCAAAATGTGGTTAAAAATATACTTGTTTAGTTTCAATTGTCCTTCTATTCCAGGCAATTACTTGGCTCTGCATTCCGACGAGGCTTGTCGCTTGATCACAGCAGCCAAGATCATTTCGGTTCCCTGGGATGTTCACAAGGGTGAGTTTGTTTGAATGGATGCAGAATTAAGATTCTGATTGTCTCACGCTGCGCGTCTTGTCACTCAGGCACGGCCAGCATCGAGAAGCCCTACTTAAACAGCATGCTAGGCCGCCATCTGGCCAACAGCCTGTGCGCCACTGTGAGCAAGTACGACATGTTCCAGGACGGCAAGGTGGACATGACGAAGGTGTTGCAGAGCAAGACGATTAAGGAGTTCGATGCGAATTTCACATCGAAGCAGTTTGGCTTTAAGGACGTGGACAGTTACTATCAAGCGGCGACGCTGCACAACAAGTTGCACAGGATCAAAGTGCCTTTGCTCTGCCTCTCGGCGGCTGACGATCCCTTCCAGCCGCTGGACGCCATTCCCATCAAGGCGGCGGAGAAGTCCTCGCACGTGGCGATCGTGGTCACGGCGCGCGGCGGCCACATTGGCTTCCTCGAGGGCTGGTGGCCGTCGTCCAAGGATCAGTACATGGGCAGGCTCTTCAGTCAGTTCTTCGCGGCGGCTCTCTTTGACACGACCAAGGAATTCGAGAAGACCGCGCAATCCATGATGATTGGCGTGGAGTGCGGCGCATCCAAGAGTGATTAGACGGCGCGCGTTAGTGTGTTACGATAAATGGTGCAATTTTGGCTTCTTGTAGAGACGCAGTTTGCTCGGATTGCGCGCGTGCGGAAATGCAAATCTTGCCACACACTAGAGAGTCTCTTTTTTAGCATATTAAAAGTGAATGGTGGAAAAGGAAGAATAAAAACACGGAAGAGAACAATTCAAAATGGGGCGGGAAAAAAAGAATTCTTCAGAACACTTTGCCTTTCCAATTTTTTACCTCTAGAAATTGTGCAAAAAGAGAAAGAAAATTCGCATAAACATATCACCAAAAAAAAAGTTCATAATTCAATCATTCCACGCGCATCAAATTGATGATGAAGAAGAAAGAAAAAAATAAATGGTGTTAAGCTTTTTCCTCGATCAGAACGAGCAAATCAAAGGAGATTCACTGAGCTTTCTCTAATTCAAAGAACAATAAAATTAAGAGCAACGACTTGTAGATAAACCCAGTGATTTGAAAAGGGCGGCGCTTAAGGTTTAACTGTGAAATTAAATCCACAGTGAACTTTAACCGTGTTTTCGTCCACATCAATAATTGTTGAATGCAATATTTTTAGGTAGATAAATGAATTTTTTCAGTAGGTTTAACAAGTAGAAATCAACAAAGTGAGCACAATAATGCAAATTTCATAAAAATGTAGCTCCTTAACTTTCTGAAATGATGGTTCTCCGTTTTTTGGGAATTGACCTTTCACACTACAATTCTATCGTATTTATTGTCTTTAAATCATGTTAAGTGTTTTTTTTTGTAGTGGAATTTGAGAGGAAGAGGAATAAAAACAATAAATTTACCCATTGAGACTAACAATTGCCTTTCTTCGCCATCACGGCGTCTTCCAAGCTGTTCAGCTGCTGACGAAGGCGCGCATCGCGTCCGGAACCGCGTCGAAACTCCACATCAATGATCTGATCCTTGAGGAAGGGAAGCAAGTCCTGCACAGCCATTGGATTCACTGTGGCCATTTTCAGCATGAATCTGCAGAGAGAGAATCTGGTGAGAAACACACAATTCTGCTCACGAGCATCACAATTACACACTTACAAAAAATAGGCAGAAGTTTGAAAGGATAGTTTAGTGGTTGTGAGTCTCTTGAGGTTCTCCACGATCATCTGACGATATTTCGCCTCTTTCTTGTATGCTTCGCTCTTGAAGACAAACTCCAGCAGTTCGAGAACCAATTTCTTTCCAGGCGCGAACTCATCACACATCAGCACGTGATCCATCAGAGGAACGCACGTGACTTCGAGCAGCAACTGGAAGATTCCTTCGGAGCTGCTGGTTTGGCTGAAGATCTCCTTGAGCACATTGATGGCCAGAGAAGCGTGCGAAGTGCCTTTGCGCGGTGTTTGTGGCAAGAAACACTCGCAATACTTCTCGAGAATGAAGCGACTCATATCCTGAGATTTCGACGAGAAGCACTTGACCAGAGGCTTGGCGGCTAAGTGGGCATTTGTGGCAGTCTTGAATTGTGGAATCCAGTGCAGAATCATATTAGAGATCACAAATGTCAGATATGAATCACTCTTGAAGTCCAGCTTGGCAATTCCCTCAAGAAATACCGGGAAGATCTTCATCATAGCCTTAATCACGTTGATCGATTGCGTTTTGCCGAGCTTCAGTGACGCCGGAAGGATGAATTCCGACACCACAATCTTTAGGAAACAGTCTGACTTCATCTGTAAGGGGAGAAAAGGGTCTAAATAGTTGTAGAGTCTTGTAAAACCTTTCAAACGACCCCAAAACCGTAATGACCGTAAGAAATTTGCCGAGATACAGGCGTTTAAAGTTTTCTTTCAATATGGCGGCTTTCACCATAACGTCATAATTTCTTTGTGTGTGCAGCCTACTAAAGGACGTCGAGACACGTCTTTTGGTGAAGAGACGGTCAAAATTGGTTGATAAACAGCGGAGATAGAGGTCGGTAAAGGTGAAAACTTTGACCTTCCATATCTGTGCTCCTAATAGATCAGGCTCCACAATTAGGGTGTCGTTGGAAAGGTCTTGAGATCAGCTACAACATACTAAAATTTGGGCCCATTTCATACAATAGGGGCTGAACAAAGGAGGAAAATGTGTTTAAAGGGTGTTCAAAATGGCGGACGAATGTCAGTAATTCTGCAAGGAGACAGCAAACTTACCTTCACATACACTATTTGTGGGCAGTGCAGGACGATTACGGCTATTGTCCGATAGACATTGTTGGCGCCCTCTTGAGTGTCGAGTCCTTGAAGCGCCCACTTTTCGAAGGACTTGATGTAGTTGTGAAACTTATTCGACAGCGCCATCTGATCGCGAAGCACGTGAAGATCATCGAGTTGCTGGTATTTCTGCCCAATGCCGAAGAGAAAGGCGTAGAAGGGTTCTCTGGATGCCAGAAATTCCTCCCGACTGATCGCGCAGACTTCCTGGAGTTCAGGTAGCGAAGCGATGGCTTCTGTGGCCTGGCGAAGATCCTCACTCGAGGCGGATGAGCAGAAGATCATGCAGCGAATCCAGTGATGGATCAGGAGACTGGGATTCACCGCTGACACCTTGTCCGACGTGGCGATCATGGAGAAGAGTGTGAATAAGCATTTGGTGTTCTTGCAGTTCATCTCCATGAAGCTGCAGAAGAGATCCTCAATCTTGGGCAGTCCATTCTGACCCGATGCGGCGAGACACAAATTCCCTGTGAGTTCAGGTAGCCACAGGACACCCTCACTGTTCTCATACTCCTCCTTGACGTAGGGAAGGACGCGATAGAAGAAGACACGAAGCAACTCTTGAAGACTCTCAGATTCATCGCCTCTGGACAGGATATGTTGAATCTTCACCAGCGCCTTGTTCAGCTGGTTCAGGAGGAATTCTCTGTCATTCTCCGAACAGGATTTCAGATACTTCGGCAGCCACGGAGTCACCAGGATGTGTTCCTTGCTGCTAAAGTGTTCAGACTCTGTGAAAATATCACACATTCCATGGGCAAAGACTTTTGTCACGCTCTCCAGACACGAATTCCCATCACGATCCAGATTGAGTTTCATTATGAGCTTCCTGGGATACAGAGACTGTCGAGAGTGTCTGAAGGCGAGGATCAGGAGCGCTATTAATCCCTTAGAGGCAGCAGATTGTCGGGCAGTTGGCAGATCTTGCAGAGGAATGAGCAGACAAATGTTCTCCACTCTCTCCACAATCTTCTCATCACCAACACTGGCCAGAATCACGAGCAGACTGATGAGATTGTGAATGCCCGTCTCGTTCATCGACAGCCACTTCTTCGTGGTGAATTTGATGAAAATCCTGCCTGTGATCTTCTGGAAGCTCTTCATGAAGTCACTCTGGCCGAATCGCTTCAGGAAGTGTCCGATGATCTGGCAGAAAGTCACGAAGCTGGTCTGTGTGGACGGAATACTCTTGATGGGCGTGTCCAAATGCAGCCGGGCAGCTTTTAAGTAACTCATCGCGGAATCATTCGCCACCAGCAGCGAATTCATGCCATCGCTGGCAATGTAGAAGTTGGTGTTGATCTTCTTGTGGAAGTGCTCCCAAAACTGCACAATCACATCAATTGCCGACGTCCAGGAGTCCAGGATGAGTGACGCCACGAGGCGGATTGCCACGCGCACTTCCAACTCAGATGGATCTTCGGCGAAGAAGAACTTCACGGATCGATTCAGCAGATCCACATCCTGCAGGGTGCTCTGGGGAATGCCCTTCTCCTGGAATCCCACGAGATGCAGCATCATCCATATGGTGAAGATGTGCGAATTCTCACACTTTCCCGGACCAGAGCGCACTTTTGCGATCTTCTCGCAGCTCGAGGGACAGAAGAGACAGGTCACTGCCGATGAGAATATATCCCAGAAGGAGATCCTCTCTCGGAACATCTCCAGCAGGGAGATCACGAGCAACCACGACTCCCTGACGCAAGTGCAGGAGAAAGGAGTGGCGCCAAGAATGTCCTGCAGCTTCAAACTGTTGAACTTGTTGAGGGAAATTCGCAGCAAATCGAAAATGTACAAGTTCACGACGTCGAGGATCCTCTGCCAACTCTGGCACTGCCGGAAGTCACTCTCCAGTGTGTTTTCTTGATGCTTCCGCACGAGAATTGTGAGATGAAGCCATCGCCACTCCAGATATCCGTGGAAGAAGTGATGAGTGGCAGATGTGGCATTGCTATAAATGGTGGGCAGGATATTTTGGCTGGGTATTGAGCTCTCTGCCTCAAGGATGTACTCCAGGACTCTCAGATTCCTCAGCAGCTCCTCCTGAGCGATCAAATGAGAGCAACATCTTGTGTAGTGCAGAAGATGAGTGATGTGCATTCTCTTCTCAAAATTCGACTCAGGAACTCCTCTGGGCAGTTTTTTCCCACACTTCAGTTCCATTGCCGTTGTCCTGGCCATTAGGAATAGCGCTGGGAAGAGATTCCGCTCCAGGAACACATCCTGACAAGTTGTGAGATTGAATACAGCAAACTCTTCGACATTTACTCTTCTACTGCTGCTGATCAGGGCCAAATCGTTGTTCTCCATGAAGGAGATGCTGTGAAAGGATGCATTGGGAGTGTCCTTTCCGGTGCAGACAAAGTGAGAGAGATGGTAAGCCTCCGGAGGCAGTCCATTTGGCTGGGATGCCACAATGTCCTTTTCCTCCAGTTGTTGCGACACTTCCATCAACACTTCATCGGTTTCCTCATCATCGCTCCACGCGAAATCCATCTTACACAAATTTCCACTGATTTTCACTCTATTTTCTTACAAATTTCCACGAAAAACATGCAACTATAAAATTAAACCTAACCAAAAGCGACGCACTTTCGCGCCTTTTTCTCCTCAGCTGTTATTTTGACACCGCGCGATGACAGCTGTCTGTTTTTTTATCTGCTTTTGCGAGAGCACACCATTATTTTCCTCGAGTTTTTCCGTGATTTCCGCTGAGAGTGTGCAAAAAATCTCGTGTAAATAGACAGAATGTCTCTCAGAGACTTGGTGGATCCCGAGTGCGGGGGCGCCAATCAGTTGGTGCGCCTGGGAAATCAGATAACACGAGATCCCACGTTCAAGGATGAGGGATTCTCAGGGGCGCATCAATCCGCCCTCCCCGGACGGCCGGTGTTCAACTCCGAGCAGCTGATCAATGACTTCATGGCGCAGGTGACCAACGTGGCGCCCCCGCAGACCTTCCGCATGGACACACTGCTCAAGGAGATGCGAGACATCGACGCCCAGAGCTTCGGGCATCCTGTGGTGTCAGCGCCGCCGGTCATTCAGGAGGTCCACCGCAGTGACACGTGGTCGAAGGACTTTCTGGACCACCAGAAGCACATCTTCGAGCCAGACAAGGGCGCCAGTGGCGGCGGGCCGGCGATCTGGACGCCCAGAATGCCTCCGGGAATGATGGCAGACAATCTCCTGCCGCCAGTGCAGAATCCCGCGGCAAATGTGACGTGGACGAAGGACTTCTTCGACAGTGCCGAGAAGGTGGAGCGGGAGAAGGCAATGGATGTCCAGCCAGAAGATCAGGAGGATCTGAAGCGTGCCGCTGATGATCTCCTGCGTGCCATGGGAAATGATTCCGATCCGTTCCAATATTCGGAATTTGTGGATTTCATGAAGAACGTCAGTGAGAATCCCTCGGTTCTCAATATGAGCGATGAACAGGGTCAGAAGATCACGGAGGATTTGCTCCATCCGGATGATCCGCAAGCTGAGGCGTCAGCGACTGACTGGGCGAAGGATTATGCTGAGAAAATGAAGGAGGAAGGTAAGATGAGTGTGAGATAAGACGAATGGACTTTAGGCTCTAATCAATTGCTTCGCTCTCTCTCGGCAAACAGCTGATAAGAAAGATGAGTACAATCAACAATTCTGGAATCGGTTGCAAGACGAGTGGCGGAAAATCGCTGAGGAGAACGATGAGCATCATCCGTGGCTGACGGAGTTCCAGGACTTCTACGATCCCTACAAGGAGTACAAATTCGACGAGGACAACCCGATGACCAACGACGAGAACGTGCTGGAGAAGGGCAAGGCCTTCCTGGCGCAGGGCGACAGTTCCAGTGCTGCTCTGTGCTTCGAATCGGCCGCCAAGCAGGACTCCGCGAATGCCGAGTGCTGGGAATTGCTGGGGCGCGCTCAGGCGGAGAACGAGAAGGATCCGCACGCAATTGCAGCGCTGAAGAGAGCGCTGGAACTGAAGCCGGACAACATGAATGTGCTGATGGCTCTCGCTGTTTCCTACACCAACGAAGGCCTGCAGACGCAAGCGCTGCGCGTGCTGATCAACTGGATGAAGATGCATCCCAAGTACGCCCATTTGGTGCCGCGCAACTTGGCTGAGCTGGAGGAGGGCGCCGTGGGAGGATCAATAGCCAAACCGTGAGCACAAATCCAGCAAATAATTGTAGAATTTTTCTGACTTTTGACCAACTTTCAGGCCTTATTTGGCGGATGTGCAGAACCTCTTCCTCGCCGCCGTGCGAATGGATCCCAGCGTCATTGACACAGACATCCAGGAAGCCCTGGGAGTGCTGTTCAATCTCTCTGCCGATTACGACAAGGCCGTGGATTGCTTCGAAGCCGTGGTGAAAATGTCTCCCGACAATCCCAAAGCCTGGAATCGCCTGGGCGCCAGTCTGGCGAATGGGAATCGCTCTGTTGAGGCTGTGGATGCTTATCAGCGTGCTCTGGCCATTCATCCCGGCTTCATCAGGGCGCGCTACAATGTGGGCATCATTTGTATCAATCTGAAAGCGTACAAGGAAGCTGCTGAGCATCTTCTCACCGCCCTCAATCATCAGGCAACGTCGTCGGCACGCTCGGGAATCGTCAGGGATGTTTCCTACAAGCAAATGTCGAACAGCATCTGGAGCACACTGAGAATGGCCGTTTCCCTCCTGGGACGCCACGATCTGCAGCCGGCGATTGATCGAAAGGATCTGGACGCGATGAATGCGGCTTTTGAGATGAATGACGTTTAGGCATTCCGGGAATTCCTGCTCAAACTGCCCTTGTAATGTGTAAGCTTGTGTTATATTGGTGATAACGTTTGACTGGCAATAATAATGGTGGGTAGAGGTATTTTTACAACACTGGAATTGTATTGATCAAGGGGCAGATATTATGGTCGGAAGTGGTGTACAGTTTTTTAAAGAAAGTGTTAGGAATTGGAAGTGGCAAAATGGCAAAATATATAGAATATTTGCATTGCAAAAGCTTCCTTTTCAACAAATTGAGTCGTTTTATCAATCATTTTGCTCAGAAAAATCAATCTTAGTACTTTTCTAGGTTATGTAATTGATTTAAAACCTTTTAAAACAGTTTCTGTTTATCAAATAACCCAGAAAAGCTGGGAATATTTCGCTTTTTCTTGGCAAAATTGAGCATTTGCGTTCGAAAAAACCCCAGATTCTTTAAGAAAAGGCCTAGAAATCAAGCATAACCTCAAAAATGTCATTTCAGTCTGTAATAATGCTTTTTTGCTTAGTTATTTCCGCTGTTTGTGGTCTTAAATGGCAAATTCAGTCTCATTATTCAATGGAAACATTGTGATGTTCGCTATATTTACTCATTTTCAGGCTTGAAGTATTTTTTAACCCAAATTCATAACCTTACAATTTGATCAGAAGGTATATTACGGACAGAAGTCTATCGTTTGAACAGTTGAAACGACGAAAAACTTGGATTACATTGTGATAAGTGAAAAATTAATAAGAGAAGCAGTTGAAGGAGTCGAAAAAGCGATAGAAAATGCCTTTTAAGGCTTGCAGAAATGTCTTAAGAGCTTAAGATTCCGCACAGAAACTGTGGAAGTGTTCAGATTCAAGCCATATCTCCTCCTTGAATCTCCGCTTTTCAAATGTTCCAAAGCGCGCGAGGTGTGAGCCGCCGCAGCCGCTTAAACACCGCAATCTGCGATTGTGTGCGTGAGTTATAAATTAGTGGACTTTGACGTTCCTTCAGTGGAGTTTGGACTCGAATTGGAATTTGCAGTTTATTAGCTGAATTTTGTGTTTTTCCTTTATTTTCCTTGTATATTTCCATTGATTTGTGCATAACATCCACCTGCGCAATGTCTGCTGTCACAAAAGGTGAGAAGACGCGGTGTAAATTGAGGGAAAAGACATAAATCAATCATCTCTGCAAGTCCCCAAAATTTTGTTGATCATCTTGACTTGATCGTGTCTTGTATAATTTTGAATTCATCTGAATTCATTACGCACAGAAGAGCTCATCAAACTGACAAACCTTTGGCTGATTTTCAGGGATCTTCATCGTCGCGGCGAAGAGAACGGCTTTCGGGACATTCGGGGGCGCTTTCAAGAACACCACAACAGCCCAACTCCAAACGGTGGCCGCAAAAGCTGCGATCGCGGCTTCCGGACTTCAACCAGCGCAGATCGACACCGTTAACATTGGGAATATTTTAGCGGTGAGTTTTACTCTTTATTTCTCATTTCTCCGCCACTTCGTTACATCAGTGAGATGGAATCAATCCTCGCCGCAATCAGAGTAATAATCGTAGGAATATTCCGGAGCGGCTCTGCCTTTTCGAGCTTTGCTGATCCCTTCGACCAAAGGTTTAGCCTTGTTCACTACTTGGGACACTTTGGAAATAATTCCCTTCGCTCCAGCCCTTCTGAATCTCCCCATCGAATACTCTGCCTCAGCATTCACAGGTCCAACAGCACTGAGGAACAGGATGCAAGTGAGGAAGAGAAGCACAGAAAATATCCTCATTCTGGTGATGGAATTCCGTTTACACGAAGTGAGCTTAGAAAAACTGCAGCACTCAATATAAGAATATAAGAAATTCGCTCTCTTTTATATCATGAAAATCTATTATCGTTTCCTACACTGCAATTTACATATTTATTATAAAATTACAAGAAAAGAACTTTTAATCTTGAATACTTAGGAAAATCCCAGCGAGCAAAAAATGTTAAGATTTCAAAGTTGAGATTTAAAAAATTAGTTTTTAGCTTTCTTTCGCTGAGATCTTAGCAATTTAGTCAATGCACATTTGATGCGCATTTGAATGTATAGATGTCGCATCATGTAAAACCATGCCAATAACCTTAAAAATGAGAGATTTACATGCTGTTCAGGCCTTTCAGGCCACAAACACATTGTGAATTACCTATCAATGGTAAAATATCCTAAGGAATATCCTAAGAAGAAAGATTGATTTACTTTGTAACGCTATTGAGTTTCTTCCATCGTCCGCTGCAAGCGCTGCTGAAATGTTAGCTCCGTTTAGCTAAAATATCTGCATTTTCTTGAGCTTTTTCAGCTCACTGGGATGATCGCAATAGCAATAAGTCCACTTTCATCTGAGATAAATTACAGTAATTTCCTTTTATGGTTTCTGAACTTGAGAACACTTGAGCAATATCGCCCCAGTTTTTTTTCTTATCTCAGCTTATCATTCTTCATTTCAGGTCTCCTCAACAGACGGCATTTATCTGCCGCGTCACGTGCTGCTGAACTGTGGCATTCCGCAAGATCGGCCGGCGCTGGGCGTGAATCGCCTGTGCGGCTCTGGCTTCCAAGCGGTGGTGAATGGGGCGCAGGACATCCTGGTGGGCGCCGCCAAGGTGTCGCTGACCGGCGGCGTGGAGAACATGACGCAGACGCCGTTCGTGGCGCGCGGCGTGCGCTTCGGCGTGCCGCTGGGCACGAATGGGGTGCTGGAGGACGCCCTGTGGGCCGGACTCACGGACACGTACTGCAAACTGCCCATGGCGCTCACGGCGGAGAATCTGGCGGCGCAGTACAAGATTCCGCGCGACACCGTCGACAAATTCGCCCTTAAGTCGCAGCACAGTTGGAAGAAAGGTCACGACGAGGGAGCTTTTGAAGCCGAAATTGCGCCAATCAAGATAAAAGTCAAAGGAAAGGAAGTGGATTTCACCGTTGACGAACATCCAAGGTGAGATTGTGTGTGTGTGTGTTTTTTGGGGAAACACAGCTGACCTCTCGTGTGATTTGCAAGTTATTGTGAAATAATGCTCACCTTCCGGAGCAATTTTATGCACCTCAAATCACGTCCAGCCAGATCGTGAGCTTGTGGGAGTGCTTTTGGAATTTTCCGGGAAATCTCCTGGGGCTTTCAACTCATGCATGTCCATCACGCTTCTTGCAATGCTTCAACAGTTGCACTCTGTCATGAACAATTGATTGACTTACATAAAAAACTCTTGGGAGACTTGCGATTCTCGATGCTTATCAGAATGGCGAATTGAGTAATTTATTTGTCATATTATTTGTGTCATTGACTGAGTGTATTTTGGGAGGAAAATATCTCCTTACCTTTCTTGAGTTCATTTGCAAATGAATAATAATAATAAAATCAAACGAAAAACTATCCGTTTCAGTTAATTTATGAACTAATAAACAGTATGAAAACAGATGTTAAATTGATTGTTTAATTGCAGTAATTTTTCTGCCTTCATTCCGAGATATTTTGCATATGAATTACATTAATGATATTCTTACTGGTTTTCATTGATTATTATCATTTTCAAATACAACTCATTTATGCACTTTCTTGATGTTTATTTATTTGCTGAATCCCAAATTTGATGTTCAAGTTTAATGCTTCGAAATTATATAAACCATTTCGTATGTTACAAAATGCGAATTAATCAACGCGTGAAGAAACCTGCTGTGAAATGTCTATTTGTATCTTTTAACATGTCGATGTTCTTATTGTCTACCCAAGTATTCGTCAACAATGTGTATTGACGTAATTATTTGTCGCACATTTAATGCGGGGAAAAAATTGTGCAATATTTTCAATTTAGCATAGAGAACAACTGGGTTTCCTGGCAGCATTTTTACTTCAGCAAAAATCCTTCGGTCAGTAAGAAAATTAATTTGATCAGTTTGCGAAAAATAAATTTTGCAAGTATTTTTGTTCTTTGGTCAGTAAAATATTGACTTCAAAATACTGGCAAAATGTATTTTCAAAAACTTACCAAAGTTATGTTTTTTACTGACCAAAAAATTATTTTCTACTGACCAAAATAATTATTTTACTGACAAAAAAATATTTTACTGGCCAAAAAATTATTTTACTGACCATAAAATTATTTTTGACTGGCCAAAATAATTATTTTACTGACCGAAAAATTATTTTACTGCCCAAAGCTGTAAAAATACAATTTTTACGACAATTTTTACTGGTCAAACTGCATTTTTTACTGTCCAAATTGCATTTTAGCTGACCAATTTACTGTAGTCTTTTTCTCCCACTAATTGATTTGCAAACCTCAAGCTTTCGCTCATTTGCATGTTTTTCCTCTTTGGCTTTGGTGTGTCTTTGTTTTGTCTTGTGAACAGCGCAAAACTGTGAAGTTGAGAATAAGGAAAAGGAATGGGAATAACAAATTTTCTGTCTCAGACCACAAACGACACTCGAAGGTCTGGCCAAATTGCCGACGTTGTTCAAGAAGGATGGCGTTGTGACGGCTGGATCGGCTTCAGTGAGTTGAGAAATTGATTTGTCGCCACATCTCGACTTCACTTCCTCTTTCATATCTCTGCAGGGCATTTGCGATGGCGGAGCTGCGGTCATTGTGGCGTCTGAGGAAGCTGTTCGGGAGTACAATCTGAAGCCATTGGCTCGCCTTGTGGCCTTTTCGTCTGTTGGCGTGGCGCCGGAAATCATGGGAATCGGTCCAGTGCCGGCGATTCAGAATGTTCTCAAGCTCTCCGGGCTGTCGCTCAACGATATCGATCTTATTGAGGTACTTCTGGAAGGTTTCAGCCAAGCGATGGAAGATTAGATGTTATTTTGGTGTGTTTTTCTGCAGATTAACGAGGCGTTTGGCGTGCAAACTCTTGCCTGCGCTGAAGCACTGAAGCTGGATCAGGACAAGTTGAATGTCAACGGCGGTGCCATCGCTCTGGGTCATCCTCTGGCTGCCTCCGGGGCGAGAATCACTGGTCATCTGGTGCACGAGTTGCGCCGGAAGAAGCTGAAGAGAGCCGTTGGCTCAGCGTGCATCGGCGGTGGTCAGGGAATCGCTCTTCTCCTCGAGGCTGTCTAAAAAGGAGTGCAATTGAAAGACTGCAAAATCACTGAAGAAGAAACCACAGAGTTTCCCACAAAACTTCCTCAAATGATTGATTTTTTTTTTCTACTCCACAAAAGCTTATGTCTTAAGTCAACAATTTTCTATGAACTGAAACGGTGTTTGTGTGTGAGAAAAAGATTCCAATGAGATAAAAATGCAAACAAGACATGAGCGTGTTATGCAATAAATAATTTTTTGGGTATATTGAAGCGGATTCGCATTTCACTCTTTTCCACACCACAACTGATAATAAATTGATGATAAAGAAAGCGGAGATTTGCCGCAAATTTCATAATCTGCAGCAAATCAAAATCACAACATTCAAGAGTGACGCAAAGATTACTGCATCTGATTGAGATGTGGAATATTCATCTTGTGTTTTTCAGCCATGTAACGAGATTTGGAGAGACTGACATTCAGGCTTATAAATGACTGGAAATTCAGTGACAGGATGTGGAGATGAAAAAGTCAAGAATTCCAGGCACTCAATGTTGGTCGAAATTCCAATTTGAGAGACGTCAGAGTGTTCCAATTAGCGCCGATCAACGGTGAATTCTGTGTGACATTGAAAATTTCACTTTTATTCGCGCTGCGAAGCAATTCCCCAAATGAATAACTGTGAGAAATTCATCCAGCGATGAGGAATTGTTGACTGAGCGAACGTAGAAAATGTGCCAAAATGAAATGAAAAGTGCATAATTTTTAATCAAGGGGGAGATAATATTCAAGAACTTGAAATTTTTCGACTGTTTACACATTAATTCCCAAATACCAAATAAATTTTGTAAGATTCCATTCGATGATTCTATAAGAATCGACTTTGAACCACTGTTTTGGGTATTTTTCCATCTATAACCTCAAAATATCACTAAGAGATCTTCAAAAACTACCTTTGAGAGCTTTCTAGATCACAAAATCATCTGTTAAGATTTGTAAAAGAACTCAAAATTACTGATTCAGAGTCCAAATTGCCGAAAAATTTTTTCTAAATGACAATTTTTATGGTTATGTTCGATCTTAGCACAATTTGCAGTATTTCTTAGCATAAAAAGAGTTCAATTTAAGAGAAAGATTAAGTTGTAATTAATTTCCATCCGATATTTCTGTAAGAATTCACTCAAAACCGCTTTTTTGGGTGTCTTTTCTTCAACCATAACCTCAAAATGTCACTATGAGATCTAAAAAGAGTCTAAATGGACTCTAAACTACTGATTCAGAAATGAAATTGCTCAGAAAGTCTTCAAAATGAACATATTCTAAGTCCAAACGACTATTTTTGAGGTTATGTTCCACTTCAATACAATTTTCAGTGTTTTTTGACATGAAAATGCTTAATTCTGCCAATACTTAGCGATCTTGGCGACTTTATCATAAGAACTGATGTCTTAGAATGCGAAATATTCATAAAATCTGTCCTTGATTCGTTAAATAACCTAGAAAAAAGATTATTTTCATTGATTCTGCGTAAAAATCGGAGAAATTCTAAAGAATCCAGATAATATGTTCTTCTGGCTACATTATCTCCCCCTTGATTTTTAATCACATTCAAAATTTATTTAGACGCTGTCGATGAATTGACTACATTTTTGCATGTTTCTCATTAAGGCGACGTCAATCCGCTCAGTGTGAGACGAATCTCTTCAGCATTGCTCATTGCCAAATGCACTCAAGAAGAGCAAAGAAGTCTTGAGGGGATTTTCGCAAGTCAAATGCAGATGCAGCAATCAAAACAATCCCACTTCTTCAGGCCACTTGTCAGCGTTAATTGAAGACAATGAAATTAGAGTGGATAATTATAGAGAGCTTTTATGTAATTGGGCAAATTATGAAAGAGTGTCAGTGAAATTTTGGGCATTTTTTGCTTATGAGTGTCTGGAAAATTAGGTAATTAAGATGGTCTCGCGGAGTGTGTGGAGAAGTTTAGAGTTTTCTTTGAGCGCAGCAAGAGGCCAGAGTTTGTGTGTTTTTTTTGCCAATTCCTGCGGACAATCTCAAGGCTTAATATATTTCATTTGAGTGTGTGGCAGGTTAATTTGTAATTTAATCTTGTGTTCTTCACTTGACCACACACCGTTTTGTCTCCACTCTTGTTTGGGCGCCTTTTTACATGTCGAAAAGGTGTTTTCAAATCGGCTCCTCTTGTGGGCCACAATTTGGCGGGAAAGGGTTGATCCGGTCATTTGTCTCAATCAATCACAGCGCTTTGACCCGAAATTGCCAAATCCAGTGAAGTGATTGGCTGTCACTGGCAATTTACACAATTTAAGGCGCCGACCTTAGACCTCTTGATCCAATAAATCTTCATCATTCAGGGCTGATTTCGTCGATTTCTGCCATCGACATTTGGCGACACAGAATCTGCGATGCTCAATTGTGCTTAAAGGGGTCACTAATTTGGATTTTGAATACCTCAGCATCAGATTCGTTTCGTCGTTTCGAAAAAAGCGCAGTTGAAGACTTAGAAATCTTAGAAAACATGCCCTTAAATAACAAAGTCGAGAATTCTGTCTAGAATTTAGAGAAAGAAGAGTGGAAAATGAAGGAGAAAAATATTTTTTGGGTGCCAAATTGTCTCGTTGGGAGAAGGTTTAAGTCTGATGATGGATTTTAGTGAATTACTTAAACCTGTTTTAAGATCATTTACAAAGAATTTTAGGGAGAATATTTGGGAAAGGAATTAAATTCTATAAATATAGAAATTTGAAGATTTTGTGGGTAGAAAAAGGATTTTGAAGTTAAGTTTAAGAAGAATATTGAACGATTCAAGGACACTTAACGATTTTTCTCTCTACTTTCGATTAAAAATTCTCAAGAATTCTAAAAATGAGAAGGTTTTTCCTGTTTAACACTCGTTTTTAACATAAAACCTTGCGTAAAACCGTAAATATCCGATTAAAGATCAAGTATTAAAGAAATATTCTCTATTTATTAGTTTTTGCGAGTTTTTAAGCTCAGAAATTCGCCTTTAACTCTTTTAAAATCGTGTATAATTATTTTATAAGTAAATTTTGAAGAGATAACAAGATAAAATCTGTGTTTTTCTGTTGAAAACAACCGTGAAATCGCTCTGCGACGTATTTTATTTATATATAAACAAACCCTTGATTGTGCTGCATTGAAAATCTATCAAATTTACCCGAAAAATGACCACGAAAATGTGTGGCAAAAAAGAAGATTGACTGATTTTACCACACAAATCTCCAAAATTTCACAATGCAACCTTAACATATTCCGATCATGCAAATATCGGCGATGCCTCAATAAAACCATCGCGCTCATCTGCTGTTGATCTGCTGTTTTTGCCTGGGCAGAATGCTTGCCTTGCAAACATTGGGATGAATGTGGGTGGATTTTTGCCGCTGCGCTTGCTTAAGAATGCATTTGGGACAATTTGGAGGTGATTTTTGCTCTTCGCTATCAAAAGTCTCAATCTTATGTGCGATGCTCATGCGATTCCGTGAGTTAATTGCAATTTCATTAGTATGTGAAGTTTTTTTCCCTCCAGAATCTCTCTCTCTCTCTCTCTCTCTCTCAATTTGGCGCTGAAAAGCCAGTGATTCTCAATCTTCTTAAGGTGTGAATGTGAAGAAGAGTGTGTAATTTGAAGAGGAAATGAATTGAGATGGCGCGGATTTACTGAATTTATCAAACTTGCATACATTTGCACAGTTTCGCAATAATAATTAAAATTGTACTCAATCTTTTCTCTCAATTCCACACTTTTACGTAAGTTATTTTCTTTCATAAATTCGGCAAGATTGACTTCTTTGTTGACTTAACATAAGCAAATGCTTCAATAAATAAAATATATTGATGGATTTCGAGCAATTTTGAGTGCAAATTTTTACACAGAAAGATTGAGAATCTATCCTTCCGAGAAATTACATAACATTTTTCAGTGCAAAGACGCGCTAGAAAAATTGATTGAGTCTCTCGTGAAAATGCAAGATGAAAAAAACAGAGTCGAAGAGAGGTGAAAAAGAGGCAGTTTCACTTTCTCACCTCAATACTTCTTCTCTGTTTTTTTTCTCTCCCTCTTAATCTCGCCATAAAGTGAATCCAATCCACTGAAATTCCACAAATTGCAACAATAATGATTCTGTGGACATGAAATGGTCAGCAAATTGTCACCGAAGAAATTGCAGTGTAATGAAGAAATGTGTTGCAATTCTTCGTCGAATTGCGGAGGGAGAAAAATCGCGTCTTACTCCCTATTTTCTCAGCTCAACACTGCGTCTTTTTTCTTGCCCTCAAGTTTGGCGTACCTGAAAGTGAAATTATTTGCATACACGCTCGCTGGCCGTATTCTGGGCCTCTCGCACGAAAGCAAATTTATTCATTTGATCCACTGATATGACCTACATCTTTGGCCGGCACGAGGACCGGCGCTGAGGCGAAGAGAGTGGCCAAGAGAGTCGATCTCAAGAGGGCTTGTCGACTCTGTCTCAAATCGAGCGCGAATTTCTAATTACAATCTCATTTGCGCCTCATAATGAAATATACACACAACACAGTGCGATATATTTGCAATTGTTGAACTGCGAATTGCAATCTGAGCTACTTTTGAACCCAAATCAATATCTGGTCAAACAACATTTCCCTGTCAGTTCTTTGTGCAGCAAAAAAAGAGATGAAAAGAAGAATGATCAGCCGAAAAAAGACTGACAATTCAGATGGCAAAAACCGTATTAAATATATCAATCAAGATTCGGACAGTCAATTGAAGCGGCGGATCCAGATTGTGATCCTAAATAGGAGGAAATAATTGCATCCCAAGAAGATCTGTGTCGCCCAAGGGGCAGATATTATGGTCGGAAGTGGTGTACAGCATTGGAAGTGGCAAAATATCTTGAATATTTGCACTGCAAAAACTTCTGTTTCAATCAATTGAGGCATTTCTGAATTATTTTGCTGATAAAATTCAATTTTTCTGCTTTTTCTAGGTTGTGATCAATTTAAAACACTTTCTGGCGATTAAAAAACCCTTAAAATAATCAATTTTTTGTTTAATATAACAATATTTTACTTTTTCTTGACAAAGTTGAGCATTTGCGTTCAAAGAAAACTTGAAAGTGATTCAGAAATAGCTTAAAGGAAAACATTTAAAACCTTTTAAACAGTTTCTGGTTTTAAATTTGCACTCAAAATCATCTTATTTGTGTTTCATCTGGGAATATTTCGCTTTTTCTTTGCAAAATTGAGCATTTGCCTTCGAAAAAACTCCAGATTCGTTGCAAAAAAAGGTTAGAAAGAAAACATAACCTCAAAAATATTATTTCAGTCTGCGTTTTGTGCTTTAAAGTGGCAAATTGAAGTATATTTTTCAGTAGAAATATTCTAATATTCGCTAGATTTACTCATTTCAAAGTGTGGAAGGATTAAAATTGGTCCGAGAAGGATTTTTAAGTCGAATTCATAACCTCACAAATCCTAAGACATCAAGATCATTTCTTACCATCTGAAATCTAATCATTTGATGAACTTAAACCTCATTGAAACCTAAAAAGCGGATGGAAAATGCCTTTAAAGGCATTCAAAAGTGTCTGGAAGTGTTAAAGATTCTGCACAGTGACTTTAAGGCACATTATTTGCCCCTTGATGTCCCCTTTTATTTGATTTATGTGAATTGATCAGATCACAATTAAATATGCATATAATTGGCTTATCTCATCGCGAAGCGAAGCCTGGTTGGAAAAGATTATTCCGTTATTGAACTGTCTCTCTCTTTTTTTATCATTGCGCAGCGATAGCCGGAGGACTTGGGAGCCTTCAGCCGCCTAAACGACTCCCACTGCAGTGTGTTGATATCAATTTGAGAGAGACTTCAGTGCCATCCAAGAGCCGCCCGAGCGCAGCGCAAAAGTGGAACTTTCATTGCTCTCGGTGAGTATTTTTGAGAAGATTTCTGACTCTTTGCGGGCTTTTTTCGCGCTCGCGCGGCAAAGTGCAGTTTGGAAGGCATGGCGGAGTCGCGGCTCTGTGGGAAATATATGGACGGCATGCGGGCTGAGGTCTTGCACGTCGTCAGCCAAAGTCAGTTGCTTTCCGATCGTCAGGCGAGAAGGTGAAGAGAAGAGCGTTACACGATTTCTGTGCTCTGGTGCTTTATTCGTATGCCAAGATTTTCCCTGTCGTGGCTTCATTTTTTATGCTTCTTTTCCCCCCATTTGATGTTACAATTGTGTAGTGTTGTTCTTGCTGTGAATTCTGTGTCAAATTTTCTCCTCTCTGGAGAAGAAGAAGAAGAAAATCAACCGTCAGACGCCTTCAATTGATCCCAATCGAACTGTTCAATTGATGTGCAACTGTTCTCTAACGGATTTGTGATTCAATCATGTTTGCCTATATATACATTGTTGCACTCTCTCGACACGAGATTTCAGTGGCATATAATTATGGATTTAAGTCTACACTCAATCAAGTGGCGCATTGAGGATTAACTATCAATTCTCTTGGTGAATTTTTCCCTCCCGCGCGCGCGCGTGTGTTTTGTGAGTTATGGGACGGGAAGGCAGAAAATATTGAGGATATCAATCATCTTACAACACACAGAGTGTTTTTCATCTTAGTTTTCATTGGAAAAGTCGAAGGGGGAAAAAAACGGGGGCGATGAGCACAATCTTGAGCATAATAATCTCGACGCGAGTGTGCATTTGATGTTATCACAAAATGTATATGTTTTACGTGATGCGCGCGCGCGTACTTTTCATTGCCAGAAAACTCAATTTTGCATTGCAATTTCGTAGAAGAAGATGAAAAAATGGCGATGAAATTCTCCCACGATTTTTAGAATTGGAATTAATTGTAGATTAAATCGTGCGAGAAGAGAGTTTGAGGAGAAATTTGCCAATTAATTTGTGACCACAGTTGTTGGGAAATACTTTCCATTTTTTCTAGAGAGAGAGAGAGAGAAAGAGACTTTTCCTCCCTGGATGTTGAGTAATTTCACTCTTTTCGTGTACCTTCCGTTTTTTTTTGTTTTATGTGTAGGCGTGAGAATTTCCATCAATTTCTCCACCTCCACTGGATGTTTTTTTTTTGACTAATTTGTCCATTTTTACACTGATTAATGCCAACATTGGTGAAGACGAAGAGGAGGAGGAGGAGAAAAAAGGCCAAAGACAGCATAACTTCTAATGTAAATAGCATGGAAAAAAGCAGTGTATTTGACATGAGAAGTGAATTTTTTTATCAACACCTTTTTGTGTTGAGAGTCATTTCAATTGGGCATTGTGTGTATTTTCGGGTGGGATTTTCATCTCATATTTGATCTGTCTGTCGAGATCGCGAGTTAACACACACGATAGAAAAAAAAGCTGAGGCATCTTGTAGGCAAACAGACACTTTGTGTGGAGAAGAAGATTTGCAAATGCCAAGATATGCGCTAAACATGAGGGAAAATTGTCCTTTTTCTCCTCTCTTTTCGGGTTTTCCGGAATGACATAATTGTATTGTCTAAATCTGTCTTGTCTAAGACGATTTATCGTAGTTTTTGTCTTATGTATTTTTGAAAAACTGCTTTATCTGTTGTGCTACTAAAAATTTCAAGATTTGTGTCTTATAAAAGAATAGAAAGAAATTAGATTTATCCAAAAACAATCAAATAGAAAAAAGATTTCATTCAATATGGCGAAAACTATGAAAAGTTAACTACTTATGGTAAAAAAAATTGTCTCAAGCTTTAGAATTTTGCAAAAAATGCCTAAAATATATTTAGAATTCGAATAAAAGTAATATTTGTCATATTTTTTTTATTGTCTAACTAGAAAAATTGAAGAAAAGCGGTGTGAAGTATGAAAAAACGACTAAAAATTGTTGAGAAATTTGTCTCAAGCTACATAAATCCGCAAAAAAAGCCTCTTTGTTAAACATATTCTTTCTGGATTTTCCGGATTCTCCTGAAACGTTCTTAGATTTTAAGTGAAAATAATATTTGTCATATCTTTAAAGTTTTTCACTCTAAAATCATTGAGAAAAGTGCATAAAAATATGAAAAGTGATATTTTTGGAACATGATTCGATTAATTGTACTCGAAAACTATAAAAAATCGACTTTGAAAAGTAATATTTTTAGTTTAAGAATTAGAAAATAATTTTTTGAGGTAAATTTGGCAAAATTCGCAGCAATATAAGTGCTAAATTTTCAACTCTGTTTCTTGAAAAATGACAATTTTGACTTTTCATAGTTTTCAATTCACCTGTCGAAATCCAAAAGTGAGAAAAAGCCTGAAATTCTAATTGACACTGGCAAATACGGTGGGGAAAATTTTGAAATTTGCACAATAATCAGCAAATTAGCGGAGTTTTTTGAAAAATCAACTCCATTGAAATTGCTCTACCCAAACGGAGGGTGAAGGCCTTTGACTTGTAGGTTCAATCATGCATTGCACGGATTTTTTTTTTACATAATCACTGCTCTCAAATCGCTCGTTAAGTTTTTCGGCTTTTTAATACACTTGTGGGTTGGTTTAATATAATTTGCGCGATTTTTCCCCACTTGTGCACGCTTTTTTTTTAATGTATTTTCGTGTGCAGTCAAATTAGACTTTGGCGCTGATTCACAAATACACAAGAAACTTTCACTCTCTTGTGGGCAGTCGCGAGATTTTGGGGGGAAAAAATCACTCTCGACGGTGTGAATCCGAAAGAGTTTTCGGTGAACCGCACTTGGTGAAAAAATAGCGGTTGTGTTTATTAAATACACATGAGCAATGGAATAAACTCATTAGCCCATTTTACGTAATAAAGTTAACAATACAGCAGAACCACTCATGAGACACTCGCGATGGTCAGAAAATCCCTGCATATTTGCAAGGGGGAGATAAAATGCATTAAATCCAAATTAAATCCCCTTCAAATTTACCTTCCACTTCTAGGACATGAAATTTGTAGTCTTTTTCCATAAATTTCCCCAAATTTTTATGAATTTTTTAAGTTTCCATTCGATAATTCTATAAGAATCGACTTTTTGAGTATCTTTTCCAACTATAACCTCAAAATATCACTAAGAAATCTTGAAATACTCATTTTGGAAGCTTTCTAGATCGCAAAATCATATGTCATAAGTAGCCAATGAACAAAAAGAACTAAGAATTGCTGATTCAGAGTCAAAATTGTCGGAAAAACTTTTCTAAATGACAATTTTTGAGGTTATGTACGATTTTAGCACAATTTGAGGTATTTCTTGGCATCAAAAGAGTCCATTTCAAGGAGAAGATTAATTTGTATTAAGTTTCCATCCAATATTTGTGTAAATATTCACTTAAAATCGCTTTTTTGGGTGTCTTTTTCGACCATAACCTCAAAATGTCACTAAGAGATCTTCAAAATTTGTCAATGATCTTAAAATTACCGATTCTCAGTCAAAATTGTCTAGAAAGTATTCTAAATGAACTTTTATCCAAGTCCAAATGACTATTTTTGAGGTTATGCTAAAGTTTAACACATTTTGCAGTGTTTCTTGGCATGAAAAGATCAAAAAAGCACTGTCAATTGCTTGCAAATGCTTATTTCCGCCAAGGATTAGCAATCTCAGCAACTTTAGCATAATAATTGATTTGCTAGAAAGCAAATTATTCAATTAATTTGTTCTTGATTCGTTCCATAACCTAAAAAAAGGATTATTCAGTTTGTTTCTGCATGAAAATTGAAGGAAATTCAAAGAATCTTGATAAGTTGTCAGTAAAAGAAGCATCGCAGGAAAGGAATTTTGTACATTTTTCAACACTTCCACTTCTTAAGTTCTCCTGCTGACTGTATTATCTCCCCCTTGCATATTTGCTGTTCATCATGTGAAATTTCTCGTGGTTCTGCACTTATCACTCATCGCTGGTAGATTTGCTCGGCAATTTGCCACTGGCGAGGGAGCATTCTTGCATGTTATTGATTTTGCAAAGTAATAGCGTGCCATTTGGCGATTTTGCAATGGGTTTTTTCATGAAATTGCAGCATTAAAATAATAATAGATTTGTTTGGGAGGAAAAATCTGCTGAGAAATTGAGCAAGTGTAAAATTGTTGCTTTTCGGCCAAGTCTGGCGGGAATTCATGAGTCACAAGGAAAAGTGTTACAAAACCCCAGCGAGATTGTCTTTTCACGAAAAATATAATCTCTCTATTGGGACAACATGATCATATATCACTGACCGCTGCGCCTCAAATGTGAATAATGTAATTTGAAAATTAAATTTACAGTTCATTATGGCATTTGAAGCTCATAAGCGACAAATCAAATTATTTCGTCTAGCGTCTCGTGATGTATCGTAGGTGTTTTGTGGACATTCGCGGAGTGTTGGCTGCACAATTATTAAATTGTTTGGTGTGTTAGAGCTAGACTTTATTCAGAGGCCCAGTTAATTTGATTAAGAGCCACGCCAAGAGTAGGGCGGAAAAAGCTTCAGCGCACACAGTTTCCCAATTGAACATTAAAGATTAATGGGTGGTTATTTTCTATTTGACTCTGTGGTCTCTCTTTCTCCCTCTCTCTCTGTCTGTCTCACTCTCCGGGGACAGTTCCATATGACCAGGTGTGTTCGGCGTGAGCGGAGACAATTGTGCCAGACGTGGAAAAAATGTCGCGATGGAAAGGCGCGGTGAAAGCGACAGAATTCGCGAACCCTGGAGCCTTGGATGAGATCCTGCCGGCGCCAGTGGAGCCAAGTGATGCGCAGCGTGTGATGGAAGAGGGACGGATTAGTGTGCCAAAGACTCGCAGCATTGCTGGGCTGTCGAGGAGCTATTTGAGAAAGATCAGCGGCTACTTCAGCAACAGTTCCGCCATCGCCAAGCCACGCAAGAATCCCTTCACGACGGCGGAGGAGAAGTTCACAGTGAAAGCCGAAGGCGACAATCTGAGCAGTGATGGCTCGACAAAGGAGCTGTGCTCAGTGGACACGACGCCCAAAGTGACTCTCGCGATGGCAGAAAACACTGAAGATGGCCAGAGAGCTGCACTACCAGATTCTCAAGTAGCAGGAACACCAAATCCGGAATATAACGCGTTTCTCCTGCCGCGAGTCTGCCTCAAGCAACAAGAATCCGGGTAAGTGCTCAAGTTTCTAATACACATTCGACGAGCGATTAATTTGCTCAAATGGCTATCTAATGTTTCTCAGTTGCACAACAAACGCGCGATGCATTTGTGGAATTATATTTGAGACACGCCAAGGGGTGGTTATGCGCCGTCCTCACTTGATCTGTGCATTGTATTCATATATAATATTTAAATATTGATTTTTGCTTCATGGATTGAAAAAATATGATTATGTTCTAAATAAACCTGCAAAATAACCAAAAATAGAATATATTCGGCAAAATATTTAAATAAAATTTGAGTATATTTAAATATTTGATTATTTTCTCCGCATATGACCGCCAGAGGGAAGCAAAGTTGGCGTGGGGGACGCTTATATTGCATATTTCCCATATTTCACATAATTTTCTCTTATCTCATGCTTTTCGCGCAGAAAAAAACTGATTTCTTCATCAGCTGATCAAGGATGAAAATACATGTAGAAGTTCCGATTGTATTTCTCTCTTTTCTCGGCGTTTTTGATGGCACTTATTGCCCTTTATACATATTATTTTGCATATTACGCATATTGCTTAGAGGCGTTTTAAAACCCTTCATATTTCCTTCACTATCGGAATTCCTTCATGACTTTAAACTGCTGCCCTCTAGCGGCAATTTTTGGAGAAAATAATTTAAAATTTTAATGAAAATAACGAAAAATCAGTAAATGATTAAATAATCACAAAGTTAATGGTCTGAAATTGGAAGTGATTTTCCCCTTGATTGTATATTAAGGGAAATTGTGTTCGAATCTCACAAAATCAATAGATTCTTTAGTGCCGTCAGAATTCATGCACACATTTGCTATGTTACACAATTGTGGCCTGAAGAGTCTCTCTCGTTTAGCTCTAAATTAATTAACAGTGTGTCGAGAAATCATTGCATAAAGTTTGTGTATATGCAAAGAAACCAAACTACTTAAGGAAACAATCAGACAATTAGCATTTCAAATGGATAACCGTGTTGCTCTTTCTCGAAAAAACACAGAAAAAGAAAAAAAATTACACACACTTTAGCTTGGCGAGTGACACAGAAAAGGCGGCAACGACGAATTGAGATGCAGAATTGACTAATAATCTTAGTTCATGGGAGAGAACTACAAATATATTCCATCAGAGAGTGTTTGTTTTAAGCCCATCTTCTGGGTTCAGAAAAGAAGCAAACTCTGACGTTCAGATGTGAGATGAGAAGGAATTGAATAACACACAAGTGAGTGAGAATTCAGCGGCGAATTTTGTAATAATCCAGTATAAAAATCAGTGAAATGACGACCTTCAAACATGACCAAAAGTAGAGCAACTGAAATGGAATTTAAAACCTCTTGTTTTTCGTCTTTAACACCGAAAACTACATAAGCAGAGAAATAAAAACAATCCACTATGCTGTCTTTTCTATGTAAATGAACTGTGACGGTAATCACCGGTCAAGGTCGTGTTATCTTGCAATTTTCGTGGATTGCGGAGCGCCTTTTTTGGGGGCTCTTTTCACGCCTTTTTTATCAATAAAAAGCACAAGAAGCCACTGAAAATAGTGCTGCAAATGAACACCCCAAGGGGGAGATAATATGTCCTGAATCTCTTCCAAATTTGCCTGACATTTCTAGAACTCGACGTATTTAGACGGTTTCCACATGAATTCCCAAATTATAATGAATCTCTTAAATTTCCATTCAATATTTCTGTAAGACGTGATTAAAAAAACGCATTTTTGCCCATCTTTTCCGAACATAACCTCAAAATTTTACTAAGAAATCCTCAAAAACTCTGCTTGGAAGCTTTCTAGATCACAAAATTATCTGTTATAATTTAAAAAATTAACTCAAAATTACTGATTAAGAGTCAAAATGGCCCACAAAAATTTTCTAAATGAACATTTTTCACGTTTAAATGATTATTTTTCAGGTTATGTTTGAGTTCAATACAATTTACAGTGTTTCTTGGCATCAAAGCTTCAGAAAAGCCACTATTTATTGCATGTAAATGCTTATTTTTGCCAATTGACGCTGAATTGATGTTCTAGAATGCGAATTATTCACTAAATCTGTTCTTGATTCATTACATAACCTAGAAAAATATTACTACGTTTGTTTCTGCATGAAAATCGAAGGAAATCCGTAGAATTGGCATCATTTTTCAGTAAAATAAGCTCTCAGCATAGGAATATTTTAAGCTTTTTCAGCACATCAACTTCTTAAGTACTTCTGATTGTATTATCTCCCCCTTAGGACACCCAAAAATTGGGCCAAAGACAGAAAATAAGGCAATTGACTGTTGTTAATTTACCACGAAAGCTATCAAAAATTTATTTACTGTTTGTAAAATGATGTAATAGACATTTCTGGACAAAATATCCGAATCAACAATATATAAATGACTTTGTGTTGTCCGTCAAATTTACATCTCTGCCAAAATTGATCTTGTAACAATTGATATTGGAGATTAATTGAAAATGGTTTTTATCGAGTGTTCTTGACTTGTTTAACCCCTTCTTGTGATCTCAACTTAACTGAAATGATTTGCAAATCTCTGCAAAATAGATGAAAATTCCTCAGTGCGCAAATGTGGTGAAAGGCCATTGACTTTTCGTGCAGATAAAATTGCCAATTGGCGCGTTAAAGATATTTGTCAATGAAATTCTACTTGGTTTATTTATTTTTTTTGGTCCGAAAAACCTCTGATTGGTATTTCGGTTAATTGGTAAAACAATGTTTCTCTTTTTTTTTAATGTTCACCAGCAAAAAGGCTCATGTGACTGTTTCGATAAAAACCGCGGAGAAGAACAAAGGTGAAGGTGTGCAAGGTGGCGAAAATTCCAATGTTTTCTTATCTTGTGACTCTCTGGTGTGGATGATAATTAAGTGACAAAGATCTTCGAGAGTCACACGAGTTAATTAGGGGGGAAGACTTTGAGGCTCTTTTTTCCTTCATCGCACGCCAGAAAATACCAAACATTCGCGCCACTCAATTTGATTATTGTGTCATGGGGACGAGAGAGAGAGAGCTTTTCGAGGCTGTTTTCATTTGCCCAGGACAAATGATTGGCGCAGCAATCAAAGACTGAGATGCTGTGTCCTCAACAAAGCCATTGATTGATAAGACGCGCTCAGTCTTTGATTGCATTTGATGAGCAAATCAATCCGAGATTATAGTGCTAATGGAGGTCAATCGTGTCAAATTTTCCGTTCTACTCCGGAGTAGCGAAAAAAAGCACACAATTCAGCTGTTTTTTTTTCGGCGTCTCCCAATTTCATAATTTCACTTTTTCTCTCACGCTCCTCCGAATCGTGGTCAAAGACTTCCAGCACTTTTTCTCTCTGTCTCAAATACTTTCAACCACAAGAGCCGCAGAAAGTGACGAAAAGTCGCACAACAAACTGACGGTGCTGAATATGCAAATCCATTGGCATCCATGATTCAGGGATCGTTGCAACTTTGCAGATTCAGTTCGTAAAAGTTATGAATTGACGTTGCAACGTTACGCTTTTCATAGCTTATATTGGCGGACGCCTGGCGGCGCTAGTGTGCAGTGGAGAGATTATTTAATATGAATTTCAGCTGTTAAACGCGAAAAATGAGTTAAACAGGGCGAAATAGTGAATTTCAGTGACAAGACATCTTCGTCCGTGACTGTTCCTGACATTGGGCGTTTTTCCGATGGGATTCTTGAAAGATTCTTGAAGGTTTTTCTTGCCAAAATGCCCATGAAGATGTCTTCACTGTGACATTAACGCGTAAACAATAAAGAAAATCGAAATATAGCTTTTTATGTACTTGCAAATGCTTTGGAAAATTGAATCAGTTTCCCCGGAAAGGATCGAAGCATGTCCGGAAACACATAACCTCAATCTAAAGACCCGGAAAAGCCAATAAATTTGTACCAATCAACCTGAAAGCGTCATTATTGTCAATTTCCTTGATTTTCACATGAATTTTCTGTCTTTTCTTGCCTTTTTTCATAATTACTATGAATTGCAATCTTGCAACGCAGTTTTGCGAATTCATATTTTTGACATCTCATTTAATATGTTATGAAAATAATGTTGCAACGACCCCTCAATTAAAAAAGTGTAAGAATTGGGTGGAAAATTTTTGGTGTCAATATTTTTGAGAGACTTTTGCTCTCAATTTTAAACCTCTCGAGCGATCCATGAACACAGTTAAAGTCCAAAAACCAGTTCCAAATGTTTCTTGAGCTTTTTTCTCCATCAACAAGCCACTCTCAGTTGATGGAATTTACCATGTGACGAGCGCATTTACCTTCACAAATCTGTGTTGAGTAGGTCAGTTATGCTCGCTTGGACTGTCTTGTTGTGTTGGCCAAAAGTGTCCCGCTTGTCGCGGTGATTAGAAATGCCACCGAAACGCCACTTTTGGCCCATTTACTGCGTGCAATTTGGTCGGACAATGCCCCTCGTGATGAACTATGTTTTGGCCACTTTGCTTCGGAGGTGTGTGAAGTGAATTTATGACATTTTTTGAAAGTTTTGCGCGGCGTTCTTTCGTTCAAAAATCAACAAGAAACATTTGGAAAAATGCCGAATTTCCTTTTTACGACACAACTAATTTATGATTAACACGCACAAATCTAATTACAACATTTATTGGTTTATTTTATCACAAAAAAAATTTCCTGTCGTCGCGCCACTTTGTCGATTTTATTCACACACACACACGGACGCACGGAGATTTCCTGTGCGCTTTCTGAGATGTGGAGGAAAAACTCGGAGTGAAAAGTCCAGTTTTGCATGACCGACTAACATAGAACAAGTTGGTGTCATTAGAAATTTCTCCTGCCAGCAAAATAACTTTGCATTCAGTTCAACTTTATGGAGTGAAAGGGAGCAAAGAGTTTCAATGTTTCATGAAGTAAATAGTCAAGGGGGAGATATTATGGTTAGAAGTGGTGTACAATTCAGTAGAAGTATTTAGAAGTGGAAGTGCTTGAACATTTTCAATATAATGCATTCAAAAGTCACTTTCAAAAGGAATTGACACAATATTATTGATGAAAAAGAGGTTTTTTACATTTTTCTAGGTTATGTTGTGAATTTAAGACCAATTTTGCCACTAAATAACCTTCAAAATCATTCATTCTTGCGTCTATAAAGATAACAAAAATGAAATCTGATGAAGATCACAAGCTTTCTATTATAAACTGTGTTAATTATGTTAAAATCTATCTTAACCTCAAAAATATAGTTTCAGGATACAAAATAGACTATTTAAAGAGCTTTTCGATTGATTTTTATACGGAAATAGCCAATTTCAGCTTATTATCGATTAGATTTGCCTTTTAAAGATTCCTAAAAAGTTTCTTTCAAGAATTCTTTTCGATATCTCAAGATAATTTCTAGGTTATGTTCCAAAGAACATCCAAAAGAGAGATATTAAAAATTATTTCACATCCAAAATATTCTCTGGAAACTTCAAATATTTCTAAAATACTGTTTTTTCGTATGTTTTCAAAGTAAAAATGGCATATTTTAAGGTAAAAGACTCCTCAATTTGAGGTTATGATACTTTAGGCAGTTGGAGAAATTTATGAAGTGAAGAAAATGGTTCTGAAAGTGTCTGTGATTCTTCACAGAAATTGTGTACACTGTTTAGCTGAATTAGCTCCCCCTTGCAAATAATAATGAAAAGTTGTATGAAAATTTCAGTTCCTCATAAGTTTGCGATGAATTTTTCACATGAAAAAATCTCCAATTTCTCCTTATTCAAGCCTCGGTTTATGTTAATCCGCCTGCATATGCACAACTGGTTTTTTTATATTAACAAACGATGCGCTCCGCGGCCAAAACACTTTCCGGCAAATGCCGAAGTGTGTCATCCCCTGAAGAGGCAAATTCAGCATGATTATGTCTTGAATGCTCTCCTCAAGTGTGAGTAATTCTGTTCAATTATCTTCTCTATGTTACAGAGTCACCATGAGACGATCGAGTAATTCCGGTTCGGAAAAAGGTTACGGTAAATCTGGTCATGAACGCATTTCATCGTCTCACTACTCAACGGACAAGAGTGGCTCATCTGGATACTACAGCTCGAATCTCTACTCCACGGGCTCTGTGGATGAGCACATCTACAGTGAGCCGGTGATTGATGCAATTGAGGCGCCAGCGGGCAAAGTGACACCAAAGATCGCGGAGAAGAAGACGTGCAATTCGGCTGACATCCTCAATGACGACCGGCGAAAGGTGCATCGATCGATTTCGTATGATTTTGAGCATGAGCAGCACTATGGATCACCGCTGGAGAGGCGACTGTCGCTCGAGTATGGCAAGAGATCCACGCAAAAGCTGCCGACGATTATGGAGGGAATCGATGGGCAGATTCCGCGACCAATCTGGCCGTCTGACATGGACGATTCGCTGGTGGACATCAATCTGGACTCATTCTTGCTGCACAAGGACAAAAGTGGCGGGCATGGTGAGGGTGAGAGGAGTTCAGTGGAGGGCATCGTGAATCCGGCTCTCGACTGTGACGACATGTCGGAGAGTAACAGTCTGGAGAACAACTATCGATGTGCCAAATATGTGAATTCGTGTCCTGAAAATCCTTACTGTGTTGAAGGTGTTCTGGAGGACTTGCAGTCGTCGGTGGACAAATCCCTTTCGCTATATCTGCAAAAGTGTGAGGATAGTATTACAATTCAGACGACACGGGAGTTCCTGGAGGACATACGGAAGAAGCTGAACAGTCTCCTTGAGGAGCACTATGATGAGAATGGGCAGCCATCGAGGAATGTCTTCCTGCGAACGGATGACAAGCGACAATCACGTCGCAAATATACCACTGTGATTAAGGACAATATCAAGAGTCTCCGGAGTGATCTGGATGACTATCTGAAGCTCATGAATCAGACGAATGAATTTGAAATTCAGCAATTGTGCACGGGAATTGCAAGAGATGCGCGACTGACCACAATGAAGAATGCGCTGGAGAATAGGATGAGGAATCAGGAGAATGAGAGAAGATTGGGCAGCATGGTGATGAGGAATTTCCTTCCCAAGCGCTTGATGCCCTTCTATGACGAGGATTTGCTTCACCAGAGCGAAGATCCGAACTTTCAGCTCAAGCGAAAGACCTCACCGTGTTCGTCAGATTGTGGCCAAATGCCGGAATTTGTGGACAACATCGTGCCAGAGGAGGAAACGAGTCAGATTCAGCAGAATATCACGATGCAACCGACACCACTTCTTCTGCCCAAGATCTGCAAAGGTGCTGCGCCGGAGCAGGAGATGATCCTCGAGTGGCATCGCAATAAGCCCAGCATCTGGGAGCAATACTATGGGATCAATCGACCGGATCAGCCGATTCTCGTGAGGAAGAGCAAAATCAGCAGCGGCAGCGGCAAGAAGAAGCCAATCACCGTGGTCTCATACGTGAGTAGCAACAAATCCATGCCGAAATTTTTCCCTCCCAAATTGTTGATTTCTCTGACCAGAAAACACACTCACACGCCTTTGGATTGCGCGTAACCTTGTCGTGTGCCATCGAAGTTGGGTGTTTTGTAATGTCTCAAGAGCCCAAGAGACAAATGCACAGTGGCTCTAAACTTGGCTATTGCGCCTCAATGCGCATCTTGTGCAATCCAAACACACTTTATTCATATCGCGTCTCACCCAAATACTGCCTTCTGCTTTTTGCACTCAAAATGTGAGGTATTTTTCGTGTCACGGCTTTTGTTCTTAGGCGCTAACAGAGCTGCAGAGATGCTAGAAGTCTAGAATTCTGAAACAAGGCGCACATATTACGGCCGGAAGTGGTGTACAGCATATTTAGAATATTTGTACTGCAAAAGCTTCTATTACAAAAAATTGAGGCATTTTTGAAATTATTTGCTTAGAAAAATCAATCTTATTACTTTTCTAGGTTATGTGATTGGTTTAAAACACTTTCTGGTGTTCAAATAACCCTCAAAATCATCAAAATCGGGTTTAAACTAAGAATATTTCGCTTTTTCTTGGCAGAATTGTGTATTTGCGTTCGCGAAAATTCCAGATTCGTTAAGAAAAAGTCTTAAAATCAAACATAACCTCAAAAATATTATTTCAGTCTGCGGTTTTTTGCTTGAAAGTGGCAAATTCAAGCTCATTATCCTGTAGAAATATTGTAATATTCGCTATATTTACTCATTTCGAAGTTTGAAAAGATTAAAATTGGTCCAAAAACGATTTTTAACCGAATTCATAACCTCACAATTTGGTTAAAGTTTTTCTAAACATTCAAACAACAAATCCTAAGACATTAAGATCATTTCTGACGATCTGAAATCTAAGCATTTCAAAAACTTAAGCCTCTTCTAAGTCTAAAAACCGATGGAAAATGTCTTTAAAGGCATTCAGAAGACTTTAAGGCATATTATCTTCCCCTTGGAAATTGAATTTTAGTGAAATCTCCCTGGTTTTCACTACAAAATTGCAACATTCTCAGATCAAACTTCTATCATCATCAAAGTTTCACTTTCCTGTAGATCATTTTCTATTAAAAAGGTTTAATTTGCGTTTATCCCTTGCGAAACTCCGCGTTTATCTCTGGCGTACAAGAGAGAGAGACATTTAGCTAATCTCGCTGCAATTGCTTCTACTTCAGCTTGTCTTTCCGTGCAATTGCACAAGAGATGAGAGACAGTGCGTTGCCCTAGTTACTTCTGCACTTACAACTCTGCCAATCTCAATGTGGCATCTCTTATCACCTTTGCAACTCTGTGTTCGGAGGTGTATTTTGTTGTTGTCTTGCTGCTGATGTGAATAATAGTCGAAGATGTCTCTCTCTGTGTTTGCCATTGTTTATGACGATTTCATGATTCGAAGAGAGAAAAATGTGTGCAATTGAAGGAAAATAAACGCTTAAAAGGTGGCTTTTTACGAGTGTTGCCATTGGCAAATGGAATAATTTGCCGCTTTGATGACCCACTTTTGTGGAGTCTGGCGTGCCAGACTGGACCGTGGATCCACCCTTCTCATGTCGAAATGCCGCCTCATGATCATTCTTCTTCATTCTCGCCGTGCCGATCTATGATTGCCATTTTCGGCATGCCGCAGCATGAAAACACCTCTCAATGCTGCGCTTGTCCATTACACACGATGGATTTCTCTCACTCAGTTTGACTCCTCGAGGTTCACGGCAATTGTTCACTCACGATTGTTTTCCTGACCACGACAAAAGTGATCTCGCGGCGCGTTTTTCGCGCTCAAATTGTGACCATGCACAGATTATATTTGCCACTGAAATATTGGATGGCTGGCAAAGAGGTGAAACGTGCGTGGGTTGGAGCACATCAGAACCCATGGCATGTGGATTCCATCTGGACTGTGTGAGTCTGAGAGATTGGAAATCTCTGGCCAACAATCATTTAAGCGCTATAAATATTTATAAAATCGCTAACTTGTCTTTAATGTTTAATCATGCCTTGAACTTTCTCTCCGACACTCTGTGTGAATTTCTGTGTGTCCATGTGAGTCGCACAGTCGGTCAAAGTGGATGGGAAAGAGCCGAAAGAAAAAGGAGTCTCGACTGTTTGATTGGGAAAACCAACGAGCGCAATTTGAAAAGAATTTTTTTTTACAAACGTTTGTCAAATATTATTCAGCAATTTGTGTCAAGGGGGAGATAATACAGTTAGAAGTGGTGTATAGATCAGTAGAAGTTATAGGAAGTGTTGCAATTTATGCGATATTTGGTTTGCAGCATTGATTTTCTTACTCTCAGAAATTAATATTTATTGAAATTCTAATTTTGACATATTTTTCTAGGTTATGTGAATAATTTAGGACTCAATAACATCTTAAAGTCGAAATTCTTAATGTATTTTCACTTTATTGGTAGAATTATGTATTTTTAATTATGAAAATCGTGATTTAAGTAAAAAAAAAAACTAAAATCAAACATAACCTCAATTTTTTTAATAAACTGGTCTAATTTAATGATTCTGACCGGGAAAAATACGCAAAAGTAAAATTTTAGCGGAAAATGTTAGCTTTAAAGTTGTCAGTTAGATTTCAGTTAGTTTTCCGTCAAATTGCAGTTAGATTGTTGTCAGATTTTAGTCAGATTCCAGTTATTACTTGATTCTTGTCTTCTTATAAACGACTCATGAAGTGTTAAGGATTCTTTATACAAATTGTGTACGAATTTTAGTCATATTATCTTCCCCTTGATCTGCGTAAGAGTTTATTGGAAGAAAGCGCAACATGTGAAATTGAAGTGGAATATAATTGCAAAATTTGTCACTTTTAAGCAATTGACTCGCTTTTATGAGCCATTATCCACCCCATGACTTCATTTGCGTGCAATAATTGTCACCCACAGTGAACACTGTTCATTCATTTCACTGTGAATCGAAAAGCATAAACGGAGTAGAAATATCGGGTAGAAATTGTAGTGAAAGAGGCGATCTTCAATGGGGGAAATCATGAGGATGTCTAACGTTTAACAATTGTGAAGTGTAAATAAGCTCCATTTGATCATCTTGGCAGATGATCGCATAGATTTGTCAGGTTCATTAGCATCACTTTGTGAGAGAAGCGATACAGTTTGCCAGATAAATTGACTTGAGGTGGTTTTTGAAGAGTCACAAATCACGCTGCGAGTGATGAAAAGCCCCCTTCTAGCGGCACGTGCTCCAGACTTAATTGACTGAAGGCTCTCGATTTTCGCTGGTAAATCATAAATTACTCGGCAATTTGGCATGAACCACTCAGCGGAAGAAATTTCTTCTCAACTTGACGCACTGAAGATGAACACAAATCAAAGAGTGGTTCAATTGAAGGAAAAAAAATTCGGTGAAAACACTTCGCAATTGCAATGTGTAAATAATGTTTTGTAATGTTGTTTCCCAAAGAGTGTCACGTTTTAGCGTCTCGGGAAAATTAGCCTGAAGTGAAGCAAGGGGGAAATAATATGGGTCAAAGTCTGTACAACACTTCTTGATACTTTAACAATTTGTATGACGGATCCTTAAACACTTTCCAAACGGTTTTTAGCCTATTTTGATGATAGTTTTGACGTTGTCATCCTGAAAATGACTACAAATCAACTGAAATCTGACTGAAATCTAACTGATGATATTTCTAACCTTTATATCTGATGTTTTTAGATGATTTCTAATGATTTTTGCTACTATAAACTTGTAATATCCGTGGGTGTACAAAATTGCCCAAAATCGCAGATGTTAAGTACACAAATTAGAGGTTATGTTTGCTTTTGGCCTGTTCTTTGCCATTCACCTTCTAGAATTGCAATTTTCATAAAGTTTTAATGCACAATTCTATCAATAAATGATATAATTTCGTTTTCAATACAAGAATATCAACTTTGAGGTGTTATTTTGTCATAAACTCAGTGACATAACCTAGAAAAATATGCCAAGATGATCAAAATGCAGAGTAAAATTCTAGAAATTAAATAATCAGTTGGAATTCAAAATATTGATCTGATTTATTGCAATTTCTTCAACACTTCCACTTCTTAAGTACTTCAGCTGAGCTGTATACCACTTCTGACCATATTATCTCCCCCTTGAAGTGAAGTGGGTTTTTTTGGTATTCATTGAAAAGAAAGTGTTGACATCATCCACACAATAAAATCACTTTTGAAGATATACGAGTCAAAATGTTTCTTATCGCATGAAGTGTAAGTCTTTCTGAAAACTCGGCGTGTGTTGCAAAATGGGTGAAATTGTTGTGGATTTTCAATGAAGACATCACGACTGGGTCACTCTATTGGGTTGGAGATTATTGTCGAAATTATTCATGGTTTGTCTTCATTAATGGGAAAGATTGTACAAAAGTGTAACTGAAATGGGGGAAAGAAAGACGTCTTGAATGTTGAAAAGTCTACAAATTGAGCCTCTTATGGGTTAAGAGCGGCATAGAAATGCCATCAAATGCGAAAGAGTCATTTGTGGACGCGTATTTCTCGATATTGTGGAATTTTCGCACAGACACGCACCTATTAAATTGACGAGCAAGCTGAAATCGAGCAATGTTGGAGGTGGAGAAGGAGACAAAAGAGTCTTGACTTGGGCTCAATTGCGGGAAAATGATGCAATTTCACCGTACTTTTGCCTATATATAGTTATAAAACCGAGAAATTATATCATTTCTCTCCTATTTTTTCGCTTGAATCTCTTTCTTTTCCAATGAAGAGTAAGAGAAAAAAAATATGAAGCACTGATATTATCTAATTTCGCGAGCAAACATCTCTTTTTCATCCGACTTAATAAGCCCCTGTGCTAATCGTGGTTTGAATATCGCGCGAGTTATTGGCATTTTCGCGTGTGCATTATTTTTTTCACTCTCTCGTGTGCACCAATTTGGGCGGAAAATTTGCCATTTTCCACATGACTATCGCGGCTCTTGGGCAGAGAATGTGCAACAAA